TTGATATAATGCACGCTGTTTCACGTCGACCGTCCTTTTACACTCATAAAATTTTTGTTTCTGCTTTAAAAAATCGCTGTAAGTTGAACCTCCCTGTGCTACTACCTACCATATGCGACCACCTGTATTCGGCAAAACACAAAACTATCCCTACAATCAGAATCTCTTGTAAACGTTTTTAACCTCTTGTAAGCGCCACTTGAGGCATGGTCATGGTTTGATCACTATATTCGCTGAGGGGTCGGTGGTTGCCAACCCTCCATAAGATTTTTCTGATTTTTTTCCTAGCTGTTTTTTCTCTATAGCTGTTCGTTTATCCTTCGCGCACATTTTGAGACAAGTTTAGTGATGGTCAGTTACTATGGTTACGAGATGTGACGTCATAAGTAGGAGTGCAGGTGGTCAAGCCATTTTTGAGTGAAAATACATGTTGTTTCGTTTTTTTCAACAGTAAAAGTAAAACTTGTGAATGAAATGATGTAATTAAAAAAGTAATTATTAATGTGTTATTTTACCTGTTAAACGCAAAAAATTATTAATTCTCACTGTTTTCAATCTCTCTTGTTTTACCTGATTTCTAATGCTTGATGAAATTTAAGATGGCGACCATGTTTGGTGACGTCACAGACCTCTAGCAGCGCCGCCACCCCTTAATATAACTCATTTTTGTAGAGAAGATCAAAGGCTTTCCACTAAAGGCAAAATTGTTTTGAAATATTGCAACGTACCAAAAACCTAAAACCCCGCCCCCCCTCCTTGAACCACCGTGGGGGTATGACTTTGCGTGTACGTCCGAGGGTTAATTAGCGGAAACATCATTAAAAGAAACAATTAAACAGGCGACGGGAGCGGCATTACTGATCATTACACAATCGGTATCATTACTGTATTTTCCTTCGCCATCAGTTTTTAGAATGTATCAAGCGGGTTGATAGCCGTTACTGACAGAGGCTTAAGGTGGCTCGATACAGTTTTTGACTCCCAAGTTTGACTAAACTACGTCACTATAAACAAAGATTGTGTAAAATTGCCACCACGGTTGTATCAGATAAAGATGAAAATTTGTTTTGATTAACGTTGCAATGACATCGGAGTTGTCGTGGCAACGAAATGACGCTATTACCTAATTTTCTCGGCACTGGGAACTGTTCTTCCAAAATCGTTTACGGGAGCTTTTTCTTCCAATAGAGGCCTCGATGTTCGTGAAGTTTAAGCAATATTTGTAAGAGCGTTATCGAGATATTTTGGGATAAAGTTTTTATGGTTAGAAATACGCTAAAAGAATGGACAATCTTGACGTTCGGCTGTTATCTGTAGAAAACGAAGCGCTTTCGAGATGCCATTTCACCTCATAGTAGTTTCAATCTTTTTAAAAACGTGTGTGAAAGATCTTTGTGTTTAGTATAATACAACGACATTGGCGTAGAGTACAATAGCCTAGTTATGTCCGGCAAATCAGTGAAACGAAACTGGGGCGACAACAGTGGCAGGAAATAAAACTTGTTTACCATGATTATGTTGAGTTTCCGCTATCTTTTATTGTCACGTAGGGCTTTATGTTAAGCAACTAAACTGTTTTTTTAAAGTGCTAGTTAGCGATATGACCGCTGTAATGACTATTTTACTTAGGATTATTATTGGTTGTTTGAGAGGAGTTTGCTGGTGTTGCCGACGACTTCCCGTTCAGGTTATTGCTAACAACCTTCACAAAACACGCACGCACTTTGAACGTGGTCTGACAAATGTTATTACTTTCCACAGCTATCACTACTGCTGTACTATTTTCTCTTAGGATTTCGTTTAGGATTACGAAGGAGCACGGAAACTTGGTGAGACCACATCACTCTATAATTTTCCTTTCTCTTAGAAAACTGTCCTCCTCACGTGCTTTTTCAAGTGTGCTATTTAAAAATGGCACAATTTGCTTTTATAAACGGCTTCATAAAAGTAGCGCTTATATTTACTTGATTTTTAAACCGTTTAAAATCTGGAGAAAATGCGACTACCCAAAAGTCCTTGTTGTTCACCAAGTTTATTTTTTTTTCTTTAAAAAAAGGAAAAATGAATCAGCTGCATTTTTCGTTCCTTTCTCCTCGTACTCTCTCGCTGTACAAGCTAAGACATGAGCCTACACCAGGGGCCCGTTTCCCAAACTTAAAGTCTCGCAGCTTTTCAGGCCCGAGCCAAATATCAAAAATATAATCTGAACAATGAAAGCGGGGTCCTAGTTGAAAAAAAAAAAAACAAAACAAAACAAAAGAAACAAAGAAACAAAAAAGCAGTCCATTTTGTTTGGTAACCTGTGAATATGTTACGGTGATCGGTGACCGGTAATTGCCGGAACTTCCGAGGAAAGGACCCCCGACCCGATGGGAGGGACGGAAATTGAGCCTTCACATTTTTATTCCTTTTACAGTTTTCGCCAAATGGACTTCAATAATTGGAACCTCTTCTGGAGTTTGTGCTTTGAGCTGTTGTCCTTTCTAATCATCGTTGGAAATGCTCTATCCATATCAATATACTTTTCAAGAGAAGGCTACGAAAGCGTCCTCATTTCTTGTTAATTAGCTTGGCTTTCGCTGATCTCTTGGTTGGATTAATTCCAATGCCACTTTTCATCATGAACCAAGCAAACTTACTGCCACCTACTGCTTTTTGGGTTTATCTGTGCGTGGATATGATTACAGGCTTAAGCTCGGTCTTCACCCTGACGGCTATTTCCCTAGAAAGACTACACGCCATTGCTCGCCCTCTTCGCCATCGACAACTCACCTTACGCAGCTATGCGATTGCCATAGCAACCCCATGGATCTTCTCCCTGTCGTTATCTTATTTGCTCTCAGTTTTTTCCGTTATAACCTCCCTTCAGTTCAGTTGTGTGATAACTATTAGCTTGTCAACACCTTTGTTGATAACTTGCATTTCCTATTGCATCATTTGGAGGAAGCAATCTTCTAGAATTCCCAGTGAAGCTCAAGCAAGAAAGAATGTTCACTTAAATAAGACGCTGCTATTGATAACCGCAATATTTGTTCTCTCTTGGCTGCCTTTCCACGTTTCAAATATTGTAGACAATTTCTGTGCTTCATGTGAAATCTTTCGGGTGGTATATGTTATGAAGTTCCTTCACTATAGCAATTCGTTTATGAATTTTCTAGTTTATTGTTTTAGAATGCCAGATTACAGAAAAGCGCTTTCACGAATGCTTCATAAATGTAGATGCAGTCGTTGAAGAGTCGTCCAGTCTCTTATCCGGTGGTCGACAGTGAAGCAGGTGCCTTAATTTTCAAGCAATTAGTATTTGTAAAATACGATACGTATGTTTTAAGCACTTAGTCGTGCGAAAGAAATGAAGGGAGTTTTAGAAAAATATATTTCCAGTATTGTCCAACAAGTAGTTTTTCTGGCATTAAAATAAAAGTTCAGCTTGCACTGAGGAGAACCTGTGTTTCCCTTGCTATTGAGTCTGCTTTACAAGTCAGATAGACATTGGAAATTTACAGTCAATTTTATCGTGGTTTCATTGATTGTCAGCGTGAGAGAACGAACTTGCGCTTTAATGTCAAATGTTAACGAAATAGCAAAATCATCAAACATTGCCATCCGAGTATGAACTTTCAATACGGATTTCCACTAAGAGGTCATGTGACATCGCTTTTAAATTATGAAAATGAAAGTTATATGATTTTCCTTCGAAAAACGATTAGTAGGTCATATATTAAACAAAATAATAGTGATTTGGTTTTCAAACCCGCACCAGTTTCTTAAAATGAGTAAGATCGTAGCTGATCACGTGACCAAAATGTGATTTTTAAAATTATGAATTACCTCTTTCTTAACACAAATTTTTCAATTAAACTTCAAGAAAAATGTTGAAACTATGATTTGGTAACATTTACAACACAACTGAGCGTAACTATCAAACGTTTAACAAGATATAAACAAAAAGTAGTTTTGGCCGTCATGTCGGAGGGCAACAGTATGCCTTCCAACATGGCGGCCAATGGAAATATACTACTTTGTTGAAAAATCAAAGTGCCATAAAATATGTCCCTTAAATTAGTTTACTCTCAAATTTCGGGTGTAAGATAACTTTTATGTGCTCTGTCAAGTTTTGGCATCAGCAAGATTCCAACTCATTGTTTAAAGGAAGCATTGGTCACGTAGCCTCTTAGTTAAAGAATCTTCAAAACGTCTGAGAACTCAAACAAGCCTATTACCCTGTGTTAACACGGAACGCTTTAAATCTAGTTTTATTAATAGACTTTAAATATACTTTTACTTTTTAATATTGAACATGAAATATAGGTATGTATTTTTAATTGTATATTCAATAAAAACATTTATTACTATTATTATTATTATTATTATTCAAAGACATTTATTAGTGCAAGTGGCCTATTATTATTCTTTGTGAGTGGTATTTTAAATTACGTTAATTCTCAAATTAAATATTTTGTTCTAGAAATTTATCGGTAAATTTACAGGTAAAAATCGTATCAGTATGGTCTTTTCTCCTCATGTCTCTTTCTGCTGGAGTCTGAACTTTTTGACAAAGCCATCCGTTTCGTTGAAGTTTGGATCTTTTCGCGCGGTGACGCGTTTTCTTTTTGATAGGTGTGACAACCTTTGTAACTTTATCTTTGCCTTTTTTTACTTCAGTACACAACTGGACGGTTGCTCGGCCTTATAGACCTTGTCACGGTTTTGGAAGCCATCTTGACGAGTAGGCAACCACGCGAGAAATTACAGCGTTTGTATGAGAATCTAATGTCGAATAATTTCCGCTTGAAAACGCCTGTTCTGAAAAAAAAAAAATGAATTGTAAACTAAGGCCACACAACAAAGAATTTTAATTATTTCACCACCCTGTTGAAGATAAAAGACCTTTTTCCATCATTCCGATTCATTTCATTGTTGAAAGCTAAATGGTAGAATATCATTATTTTTCGACAATAAATGTTCACTACACATGTAAACCGTTTACCGCCAACGTTCACCCGCCCAATTCAAGCCTTCAGTCCAGAAATACATTTTGTTCAAGTTAAATAGTCACATGTTAATCAGTGTTAAACCAAATTTTAAAATCTAGAGCTATTTTAAAATTTTCACAGCTTGAAAGAGCTTAAGTTATATCTGGAGTATTTTACAGAAAGTTTGCGTTTGCGATATGCATATCGTTCTTGTAATTTAAGAAAAAGATCATCTTTTGTTTGATATCTCAGCTGGAAAATTGCCTAATAACTGATGGATATTCCTTTCGTGTTGCCATGAATGCATTTATGCGTTCTTGACTAAGCTACGGATTAATATCACTGATAATTGGCCGTATTCTTTTTTTAACACAATAAAGGAACAAAGCTAATGGGAGGGGTCTAACAATTATGATGAGTTTAATACTTGGTATTAAGACTACAAAGATAGTTGCATGGCAATTGCTTAATTAAGAAATCGTATAAAAATGTCTCAAAATCACTATTTTTAACTGTCAGTTACATGAGAAAATGACGTTTAAGTGCTGAAATACACGAAACGTTCTTATTATTAACAGTTAAATCCATGAGAAAAAGTCAAGTTTCAAAACTTAAACTTCCTGTTTTTGTATTTACAGCCCTAAACTATAATTCTTCTGGTCCAACTGCATTTCTGCAAGATTTAAACAGTGACTTAAAAGTTAAAGAAAACCGTTTAATGTTGTCTTTAAAGACACCAACAATGTACATAAGCCTGCGAATGCATCCGCTTTTCATTGCTCCTTGCCTCGCAATCAACCTGTCACCTTCTTTAAAATGTTCTTTGTTTTTAATCATAAACTTCCCTGTTCTAGCTTTCAATAAACAAAACTGAAATGTCATGAACAAGACGTTACCTGGAACCGACAACTATTCGGAGAAGAAAATTTGCTTTATAACCGTTGCTTATGTACGTTCAAGGCATAAGAAAAATGACATTTACGTATAAAATACATTATTATAATGTTTTTATCAACATATATCAATGGGATGAGTCACGTTTATTTCAAATCCTAGACTTTCCTTTCTTACAGTAAGCCAAATTTTGTGTCACATTTGCCGATTTAAAGTCCAAAGGCTGTTTGGGTTTCCCTGCAAGATTTAAGGAGTGACTAGTATAAGAAAGGCATAAGCGCCGATCTGTCACATAAACGGACGTACTGGTGAGGTGTGTATACGTTGAAACCTTATTTTAACGCGTTTTATTTGTAACACAAGCGGTGCTTTGTGGTGAACGGAGAAGTTTACAATAAGTCACTAAGGAAGTGAACGAGGAAAATAATGTAGTTCATTTTTCGATTTTTTCAGCTTAGGTGCCACCATTTCAGAAAGGCTCAAAGACCCAATATTTTAAACCCTAAGAGTGATCAGCATCAAATTTCTGCTTGTAATATCAATGCTTTGTAAAACAGAGTGGTCCTGAGAATTACGGACATGATCACACATGATGAATTTGCTCGATATTTTATCAACTTCTCTCCACTACTTCTGCACCCGGTAGGAAACGAATAGGGGTAACAAATGAGAATTGACCTTAGGGTTTAAAGGGTTTTAAAACAGCTTCCTTTCATGCAATGATACTTTTCTATGTTTAGACCATGTTTGATCCCATTTCTTCTCAAACTCATTAATAATTCATAAAGAAAACTCAAAGGAAATTAATGTTTAATGAGTGTTTGGATATCGGATGAAAAACTGCTCATTTTTGCATCCTTAATTTCTCCTTCAAAAATGATTTTGTTTGAGAAGAAATATCAAACATTCGACACAGTGTGTCATCACCAGATGAAACACCTCGAAGTTCGTCAAAAATACTCCGCTACGCGTCGTATTTTCAACTCTCTTCTCGGTGTTTCATCTGGTGATGAAACACTGCGTCTCATGTTTGATATATTACATCAAAGAGTACAGATTCTCCCGCGGGAATCCACATGCTTTATCAAGTTGGCTAGACTGGATATTTTTAGGGCGCATTTAGCTGTGACGAAGTTATCGTCATAAAATTTTCTTTTCTAATTCGATGGCTGAATAACTTTGCAAAGAAGGACAGACATCTTTCGGCATTAATACGAAATATATTCCGATTTCATTGATGGTAAATACATTTTTCTAGATTAGCGCTTAAAAGGACTCTACTTTTCAAAGAAAATCGCGCCTAGTAAACTGAATTTTGCTGATATTTTTTTACTGAAATTTCTGGTATCGGCCAGTTAATTGATATAATAAATATGCCAGAGGAATTTCAGAAAAATCGTTGGAGCAGAAGTCCGTAACTTAAAGTCGCTCAAAATCGAGCTGTGAAATTGTTTTGGAATTTCAAAAATAAATTGCTATCAGGTAGAAGGAGCCACCAGTTCGAATTTTCGGGACAAGTAAATTTAATGTTTGCTAATTCTTAAACAAAAGCTGATTGCCTCAGTCGTGCTATTCTTTAAAAGGTATTTTTTAGTTTTAGAAGCACTATAAATTGCTCCAAACTTTGCTCTGGAGTAGAATTACTTCCTCGACATTTTTAAAATATTCCTTTGCAGTTTTGGCTCAAACTCCTGCTGTAAACATATTGGATGTATTGCAAAGCATTTTCAACGACTTTTACTGCTTTTCGTTGCTTCCAACTCGGTAAAGAGGTATTGACATTGGACGCAACCTAATATCAGAGCTCAGATAGAACTTTCCAGCATATTGTTTATGACTACAAAATGAGCACGAGTGGCAGTTCTGCAAAGAATTCGCACGTCACCCAGGGGGGACGAACGACAATGATGCCCATGCCTGTGAACCGAATTAAGAGGCAGTCTCCCTAAAAGCGTTCCACTCGATTTTGGACTCGCTAAAACTTTTGCCTCATATTTTTATCATCAACACTGCTATCCATCCTAATAACGAAACTGCAGTTACAATGAGGAAATTGTTTATTTTACTGCCATTCCCAGCATTTCATTGCTGGACGACCGTTAGCGGCTAAAATATGCAAATTTTAGATGCCCTTTTACAGGTTTTTTAACGATCGTTTAAAAGTACTTCGGGTCATCAAATCCTAGACTATTGCACTCATTTGGAAACATATTACTTCTTCTTACTGTTCCAATACCATTTAGGCATTATCTTTCTGTAATCAGCAAAAACTGGTCGTCTTTATTTCACTAACCCAATTAAGAAAGCAAGATGCACGAATAAATGCCTCAAAAACATCTCAAAATTCTCAAAAGTGGCACTTAAACTAGAACTAAAAACATGTTTTAGTTAAAGATTAATAGCTATTTTGTCAAGTTATGCAATAAAACTTGTGGCACAACGCGATTCAGAATTGAAGGATTCGACTTAAATTTGCATATTGATGCTGAATTCGCATTGCGTGACACGGGCCGCAGTGACAGTAAAAAAATTCTTCGTGATCCTACAAATTACATTTTTCTGTTTTTTTTTTTTTTTTTTTTTTTACTTTATCAACAAGAAAAATCGTAAATAGATTAAGCTTATAGAAGTTTAAGTTTACTTTTCCACTGACCTTCGTATTAATAGTCTCGGCCGGCCGTCCTTTGTTCGACTCCCAGTAGTTGCCCTTCTTATTAGTAGAGTGGGTCAGGAAAAATACGCATTTCTCCCTACCCCACCCCTTCGCCCTTTTCTTACTGGCATCCCTCGGAGGGTCGCCCCCACAGTCTGAACGTCTGGAAGAGGCTATTCGACATACTTCAATCGCGTTCTAACGAACATTTTTGTTTTACAGATAACATTAACGAGAACAATGCTTCTCCTGTCTAGTGACAGGTGGAAGTATTTATATTTTGCAGCGAGAAGGTCCTTCACACATTGGCACGATGGTACACGGTAGTCGTTAAAGAAAAATAAAGAAAATGTGGACTGGAGTTCAAAGAAGTAAAATCAACAATCCGCTAATTACGTCTACGCCATAATAAGTCTCGTACTTATAAATTCTTATCAAGTAAATTGTTTTTTGCCCTTAAAAAAGTGAAATCAGCTGTGAAATGTACATTGAATTAAGTTAGTGTCCTGACACCTTTAGGAATTTGATATTAGTATAAATTCTAAGATGTATAAATCTACCGGCCTTCGATCACAAATCTGATTGTCTATATACAGTGCTAGTGCTATGCTGGTAATGCTGTACTCTATCAATTTCGTGATGGACAGTGAGTGAAGTGACTGAGTAGCCTGGGGTAGCCTGACAGTGTTCGTTTGTAACCTGTTTATACCACCACCGAATAAAACCGTTAGCCTTTCAAGTTGTTACGCTTTGAACGACTAGGGGGTTTATATTTGACTGTTTTAGGGAAATTTGTACCAGATCTTTGTTTACTCGCATGCAATCTCGCTCGTTTTTTGTTTTAGTATTTTTTTCATAAGATTTGTGAAGTATTTGCGGTCTTTACATTCTTTGTCATAGCATCTCGGTATGCAGACATATAAAAGCAATAACATCCTCTCTGAGTGGCTCAACAACATTGTCCGCGGTAGGCTGGTGCATCAAATGAGCGCCGCACTGGAGTCGCAAAAACGAAATGATAAACGCGGTGGCGCTTAATTTGGTAAAATCGATATCAATATGAATTTGGATCCACACGGAGGGTCCAAAGGCCGATTTTTAAAAATGTGATCCTAGATCCTTCAGCTGTTGTTCAGATGTATGTATTTTTACATCATTAACGTGGGAGAATGCAAGCGTCTGTAAGAACAGGGTAATAACCGCTAACAAGACGTAAAAACAGTGTAGGGGTCTCGACCGGGAGAAATGTTCATGCTGGGGAACCTTCGACAATGCCGGGTTCAGACTTCACGTCAGTTCTCACCTCTACTGATTGTTCGAATTCAGAGGTTTTTGTCCACGTTGGGCTTCAATAGAAAATTCTGTCGGTGAAGTCCATGGTACCAAACAATTGTCATGAGTACTCTCAGTAATATGCCTAAAGGTAGGTAATCACCATTTTGGCAATTTAACTCCGACTCCAAATTAGGTTTAGATATGCGCTTATCACTTTCTGTTTCACGCGTGTATCTCGTGATATTCAAATCCGTCAGCTCATAAATAAATGATATCAAATGTGCAAGTGCATCAGCTGACTGTGTAACTTTATGCCATACTGCAACACTGATTAATATCAGGATATTTGACTTAAAGCCACTTCCTACTTTTCTCCATAACTTCATTATGTTTGGATCTTCACTTCCCGCATAATTCTAAATAAAAAAATTGCGCGGACTACTGAGTTTATAATTGTCTGAACTTGAAATTACGATTATGACAATACCCATTGGCCCTTTTGTCGTTATCTTATCACAGATAAAGGAACTAGTGATAAGGATATTAGCAATGATTTTATGACTTTATACGTACGTGATCCCATCCTTTAAAATAGATGGTATACGATCTTAGCAATCTCCACACCAATTACATGCCTGTCCTTGGTCCTAATGTTCCTTTCCTTGTCCTCTATACGAGGTGTCCGCCAAAAACGTCCGAGTTTATATGCCGATATTTGTGGGTAATCCCCGGGAGGACTTCCATATAAAAGTGAAGGGCTGCTCGTCGGAAAATTAATAATTTATTATTTAAACCCCTAAGGGAGGCCAAGGTGGGTGTGGCTCAAGCTTAAACTGACCCCTAAAGGAGATTTCTGTGAGGTCAGCGTCACCGCGTTTTTTTTGGCAAATTTCTTTATGCACAGCCTTAAGCGATACCTGAATGAGCATATTTAGGTACTTTCCGTCCCAAACAACCGAAGTGAGACCAAAATCTGCAAACGACGAGCACCCACGTCACTTTTGTATGGGAGTCCTCCTGGGGAAGCAGATCACCATCTGTTCCACTTGATTTTTCGTAAGGTCAATGATTACCATCTTTTGAGAGTATTGGGTCGGCTTCACTTAGTTCAGACTTCGATGGATGACACATTTCATGGTAAGAAGTAATGGTGTCCTGACAATCGTGTACTTTTATCAGTTGGAAAAAACGCGTGAACGTCCACACTTTATTTTCTTGTTACTTTCACTGATGTTGCACGATTCGAAATTAACGTTGAAACTTTATTATTTGCGTGTGCCAACTTCTTTATTAACTGGCTGCGATACAAAAGTAGCCTTAGACTCCAGACTGTCTCTTGGAGCGTGAAAACAAACGCTGACCACTGTTAATAGGACAATACAATCAGGAAATGGAAGAAACCTACTAATTGAAATTTCATTAACAAAGTCTTCAAATATGGGCTCGCCGTTCACAGTCCAGTACTATCGCCCCACGTTAGCGAATACAAGACAGTCGTGGATTCTGGATCCCATTCCATGGATTCAGGATTCCGGGTGCTGGATTCCAGTCTTTTCCGGTGGAATTTCATTCCCTAGTAGGGTGCTTGAGCTCTATTCTGGATTCCAAAGCCCTGGATTCCGGATTTCATATCAAAATTTTCCCGGATTCCGGATCCTACAAGCAAAAATTTTCCAGTTTTCGGAATCCCGATACCCTTACGTGGGGCGAAGTACAAGTCAAGCATTTTCTGACCTGTTCACGCATATTTAATTAAGGAGTGGGAAATTTACTTTTCTTCTAACATTCGATTTTATAATATGATGGATCGGAGTAACGTCTGGTCAATGCAGCTTTCTCAGACTGGACCACATTTTAAGCTAGAAGAGGTTTGGTTCTGAAAAGGTATTTTTCCGTCTTGACACAACAGACTTAACACGAATGTTCGAGGCAGTGGGAATATGAAATGAAGCTTGGAAAGGTATCTTTTACTTGCTGAACTAATTTTTGAACAATATGTATCATTGGCAAAGGGAAAAAGGGAATTTTAATATAGTTTTGGTGGGAAAATGAGGCATATCTTACTTAAAAGTGGCAAGTATTTGAATAACTGAGGATTTTGTTGTGACAGCAGCCGGTATCGTCACGCAACGCAAATTGAACATTTGCCTAGATTTGAGTTGAAACCTTCAATTCTGAATCGCGTTGTGCCACACGTTTTACTGCATAACTTGACAAAATAGCTATTAATCTTTAACTAAAACATGTTTTTAGGTCTAGTTTAGGTGCCACTTTTGAGAATTTTGAGATGTTTTTGAGGCATTTTCTCGTGCAGTTTGCTTTCTTAATTGAATTAGCGAAATAAAGACGACCAGTTTTTGCTGATTACAGAAAGATAACGGCTAAACGGTATTGGAACAGTAAGAAGAAGTAATAAGCTTCCAAATGAGTGCAATAGTCTAGGATTTGATGACCCGAAGAACTTTAGAACGATCGTTAAAAAACCTGTATAACGGAGACTAAAGTTTGCATATTTTAGCCGCTAACGGTCGTCCAGCAATGAAATGGTGGGAATGGCAGTAAAATAAACAATTTCCTCATTCTAACTGCAATTTCGTTATCAGGATGGATAGTAGTGTTGATGGTAAAATTATGAGGCAAAAGTTTTTTCGAGTCCAAAATCGAGTGGAACGCTTTTAGGGAGACTGCCTCTTAAATACTGCCCTTGAATAAATTTACAACTCTGAAATTTTTGTCACTCCTTCCTTCTCTGAATGGGTAGTTTTTCTTGATAATTATGTTTTGCTCTACAATACATGTTTATACAGATCTCTTCGCAGACATGGGCATCATTGTCATTCGTCCCCCCTGGCTGAGGTGCGAATTCCTCCCAGAGCTGCCGCTCGTGCTCATTTTCTGGTCATAAACAAAGGTGCTGGACAGCTCTATCTGAGCTTCGATACAAGGTAGCTTACAATCCTAATACCTTTTTCCTGAATTGGAAGCAACGTACAGTACAGGAAAGCCGTTGAGGATGCATTGCAATACATCAAAATGTATGCAGCAGGAGTTTGAACCCAAAATGCCAAGGTATATTTTAAAAATGTCGAGGAACAAGTCAGTCGACGTCAGAGCAAGGTTTGGAACAATTTACAGTGCTTCTAAAACTAAAAAGTTAAAATATAGAAAATATAAAGCACGATAGGCAATCGGCTTTTGTTTTCAGAATTAGCAAACACTGAATTTACTTGTCCCGAAATTCGAACTGGTGGCTCCTTCTACCTGATAGTAATTTGTTTTTGAAATTCCAAAACAATTTCACAGCTCGATTTTGAGCGACTTTTAGTTACGGACTTCTGCATATTTATTATGTCAATAAAAGCCGAAACCAGAAATTTCAGTAAAAAATATCTGCAAAATTTACTAGAAGCGATTTTCTTTGAACAGTAGGGTCCTTTTAAGCGCTAATTTCTCAAGAAATATGTATACACAATCAATGAAATCGGAATATTTCTTGTTATCTATATCCGAATGATATCTGTTGTTCTTTGCAAAGTTACGCAGCCATCGCGTTAAAAACGAAAAAGTTATGATGGAAAATTTGTCACACCTAAATGCTCCAGTATTAATGACGGAGCCACCTTAAGTTTGAGTATTTACCACGTCGGCAATAACAAAGATATTAATTAGGTTAAGGTGTTTCGATATAGTTTTTCGGAGACCATACCGATGTTTTTCAATCGTCTTAGGGCTTGTTTACATGGAGTGAGGGACCGCGGTCTAGTGGGGTTGGTTTCTTTTGTTTTCACGCTCTGGGGGACACAAAACAAGAGAAACTTACCCCACTAGATCGGGGTCCCCCACTCCATGTAAACAGGGTCTTAAAAGTGATTTTGTCCTTGTCCGAAACTTTTCTCGTGACTATGAATTGAAGTTTGTCAAAATGTAATTTTACTAAAATCGGTATCACTATGACAACAATAAACAAAAAACTTTTGAAATAGATAAAATCCGAATTTTGCACGATCTAGACCTGCTACGTGTAGCAGCTTTTGAATTTAGGAAGCAAACTTTTTGGATGTTTGGCAATATCATTTAGCAACTTTCTGACATTCCAGGCCAGTAGGCAGCTTTCCAGCATCTTACTGAGCACATTTGGGACAGTTCTAGTACGCTCCGACAGAAAGGGCTACTTTCTTCAGGCTTCAGGTAAATGAAAGCGTAGAGAATTCACGAGTTGAACGATATAATTTTGATACTGTCGAATTACAGAAAATGTATGGGGAAATCAAGGTTTTGTAAAAACTGATCACAGACTTCTTTGCACTCCAGATTTAGTGTATCGTTTCTTTGAACTCGTAAGTCACTCTTTTCAAAGACAACGTGGCAAATGTATGAATTCAGGAAGAATGGGCCATTTGCACGGATGACGTCTTTTTACTTCTAAGACCAGAATTCATTTCGTTTTTTTCTTTCACATTTAAATTTATTAATCCCAGGGAGTTTTAAATAACAAAAGCCCTGGTTTGCATAAGAAAGCAAAAACCCTGAAGGATTCTGGTAGTGGTAGTAAAATGACGTCATCGGGCAAATGGCCTATTAGCTGGCTTTGAATTCCAATACAAATCTTTGAATTTCCCGCCATCTTTCCCCTGATTACCCATGATGCAACAGTAAGCGTGAACTCCACTATCATCGTCAAAGGGTTGGGAAGGCTGCTACTTTTTGACTCTTTTTCTTCCTTCCCCCCCCCCTAGCCAGATGTTAAACAAAACATAAGCGGTCTGTACGCGTCTGAATCAGTTTTGAATCGTTCTGTTATATTCCAAGATAGGTGGGACGGGGAGGGGGAGGGGAGTCAGTTATTTAGCAAAAGGGAAAACCGTCTTCGATTTTTTGAACATAAAACGAACTGCTGTTAACTTATACAACCTTCCTAACAGCTTTTGTCCGGGACTGTAGTTTGAACAGGTCCATTTTGTCGTTGAATCGATAAGCTTATAAATAACTATTATATCTTCTGCAAAGCAATATGAAATCGTCACTAAAACTTCGATCTTCATTGTGAACAAAACAGCTTTCGGTGACCGGCAATTACCGGAACTTCCGAAGAATGGGCTTCGGACCCATGCCAGTCCAGGAGGCAGCGACCGAAATCCAGCCTAAATCTTCTTTTTCCCTTAACAGGAAATAAACACCGTTTTCAAATGGACTTCAACAATTGGAATCTCTTCTGGAGTTTCTGCTTTGGGCTATTGTCCTCTCTAATCATCGTTGGAAATGCTCTATCCATATCAATACTTTCCAAGAGAAATCTTCGAAAGCGTTCTCACTTTTTGTTAATTAGCTTGGCTATTGCTGACCTCTTGGTTGGACTGATTTCAGTGCCATTTTACATAGCAGTGAAAAACATACCATATCGCATTGGAATTCTTACATTGTCTTATCGGTGCGTGGATATGATTACGGGCTTAAGCTCGATCTTCACCCTGGCGGCTATTTCCCTGGAAAGACTTCACGCTATTTCTCTCCCTTTTCGCCATAGACAACTCACCTTACGCAGCTACGCGATTGCCATAGCAACGCCATGGGTCTTCTCACTTAGTGTGACGTCATTTCAAGTGCTAAAATTTTTTTTCGTTATAACCTTAATGGAGTTCACTTCTGTGATAATCATTAGCTTGTCAACACCTTTATTGATAACTTGCGTTTCCTATTGCCTCATTTGGAGGAAGCAAGCTTCAAGAATTCCCAATGAAGCTCAAGCAAGAAAGGATGTTCACTTAAATAAGACGTTGCTATTGATAACCACAATATTTGTTCTCTCATGGCTGCCTTTTCAAGTTTTAACAGTTGTATTTCATTTCTGCATCTCGTGTTATAATTATTATTCAAACAAAACTGCGATAATTGTAAATGTTGTTAAGCTTCTTCAATATAGCAATTCCTTTATGAATTTTCTAGTTTATTGTTTTAGAATGCCAGATTACAGAAAAGCGCTTTCACAAATGTTTTCCAAATGCAGATGCAGTCGTTAGATAGTCGTCGAGTCTTTTATCCGCTAGTCAGGTCACACCGAAGCACGGATCTGGTGCTTAACATTTATCACACTTATAATTACTCTATTTTCCAGTAATTTTTATTTGTAAAATACTCGCATTCAAGCCCTAAATAGTCTTCACAAAGAAATTAAATAAAGGGAGTTTTATAAGAAAAATATATTTCTAGTAGTGTCTCGCCTGGTGTCCAAGTCACTAGTAGTCAGAAGTTATCTTGCACTGAGGATAACCTGATTCCTTTGCTATTGAATGTACTACTTCAGTAGTATAGACATTGTAAATTTACTTTTGTGGTGGTTTCATTGATTGTCAGCATGAGAGAATGAACTTAAGCTTGATGTCAAATGTTAACGGAAGAGCAATTATGATGGATCAAACATTGCCATCTGAGTATGAACTTTCAATTATTAATTTTTGTGTATGGTTTTAAATTAAGTAACTTGCTGTAGAAATTACTAGGTAAATTCACTGGTAAAAATCGTATTAGTCTTTTCTCCTGATGTCTCAGTTTCTTCTGGAGTCTCACCTATTTGACAAAGACATCAGTTTCGTTGTCGATCTGTGCGCGCAGGCGCCGCATTTTCCTTTTGATAGGTGTGACTCTTCGACTAATAAAATCCTGAAGTCTAGTGGTAAGAATTAACCTGTTCCAAGGTTTAGGTGCTGCAACACCAGCAACACTGAAAGGTCTGTCAATAAACCTGGCTTTTCACCGCGACATCTGTAGGATAAAATCCTTTTGTTACCTCCTAACTTACATAGTGACATCTCTTTTCGATGGTTTTTACAACGTTCTTGATATCAAAAGGATTTTTTCAAAGTAGGAAACAATTCTTACTACTCTTAGCATATCGATGGAAAAAACGAGGATCCGTAATTTACAGTACGGACCGGAAAAACGAGGCTAATAAGATGTTTATTATATGGCTTCTTCCTGTTTGGGGGACCGGAAACAATTTCAGGACGCACGATTTGACAGTCATTTGACAGGTGTCAAAAAAGAAAGTTTTAATTGGCGCACGAAAACAATAGCACATAACAAAGGCTTTCAGAGAAAGTAAAAACAAATTCGCCATGTTAAAAAAGTTTATTCGGTCAAAACTAAGAGCACTGTAAGTTTTAGCTCTTTAATGTAACGCTGGAGTATTTTAGAAACCGGACACTGCCTGTCTAGAAGTGTTTTCCATCTTTCCTCCATTTGTCCTTGTGAAAAAACACTGCAAAAGGCAAAGAAGCTTTTCAAGGTAAGTTTGTTGTCATTGTCGAAGGATTTGCTCGTTAATTGTTTTTGGGAAAACCTCTCTTTCTGCCACTTCATTCTCGTCTTCAGTTGTGATCTGCGTTCAAATTTTCAAACACTGACTAGAATTCTCTTCCTCTGTAAGGTTACGCTTCAGTTTCTACAACAGCTTCGTTCTAATTAAAACAAATCTAGGTTAAAATTGGGAAAGGCAAAGTCAACATCCCAGTCCACAGGGTTTACATACATATTTCAAAGTTTATTCGCTGGAAACTAAGAGCACTGTAAGTATTCACTCGTTAATGTGACACTGGAGTCTTTTGAAAACTGGAAATTATTGTGTCTGGCTCGAACTCGCTTCTATCTTTCTTTCGTTGGTCTTTGAAAAAACACTGCAAATGGCAAAGAAGCTTGTCAAGATGATCGGGTGCAGGTATGTTTGTTATTTGTTGAAGGAATTACTCATTTTCTCTTAGGCAAACTATCTCGAATCTCTGCCAGTCGATTTTCGTCAGGTTAACTGTGTGCTACAATAAAATTTTCAAACACTGACTAGAATCCTCTTCGATAAGATTACTAGTTAGAGGCCCTGCCAGGGGGGGCTCCCATGTCGCTCGTCTGAATTTTAAAACGTCTCGTGTCGGTGTTTATTAATGCTTCACGTCGCTGTCGAAAATTGAACGAAAATTCTTTGTCTTTGTCGGAATTTTAGAAAAGGAGGATAGCGATGGGTTTTAAAGAAACCATTACAGTTGAGCAATTTCTCAGTTAACCTTTGGCGTATAGAACATCTGTACATCGCCATTCACAATTAAGGGTGTGTTCCTTTCGGTGAATCCAGAAACGGATTTGGATCTTAAAACGGATTTCACGTTCCTTTCGGCAAATCCAAATTCGGATTTTTGATCTGGTGAATCCTTTTTGAAAAAGGATTCACATTGGACTTGAAATCCGAAGAATCCGAATCCAGATTAACGGATTAGTCATCTACGCTGTTCCATTCACAGTGGATTCGAAATTAGTCAGATGATCCAGCTGTACTTCCAGTTGAAGTATTCCCGTAGAGTTTCCTAATTGCTGCCATTTGCCGTAAAACATCTGAAAACACTAGAAGATTGTTCATGGTGGTACAGTAAAATGTCCATGTGCTGACCATTTGTCGCTAAAGATTGCTTAAAAACACAAATAAGTAAAAGGGACAAATAACTGCTATCTTTCTACAAACTCGCTCTTGGACGCGATAGGCACTCCATCGTGTTACATAGAAAACCGAGCTACGAAACTGGATCAAACTGAGCCGACAATTTAACCTTTAGATAATTTTCAACTTTAACACGCTACTTTCTTGATCTGTTTATGTTCCATCGTCGTTATTCGAACTGCCGACCACAAAATTCTGCACGGTATAATCGCATAATTTGTCAAACAGTAGAAAACATGTCATTTCTTGAGAGGCTCAGGCTGTCATGCATATTGCACGCGTTTGCAAAAGGTTACCAAGGTCACAAATCCAATTTACGGATTTCACGTTCCTTTCGACCGCGAAATCCGGCAAATCTCGGATCAGAAATCCATTTTTGGATTCGCTTAAAGAAACACTGTCAGCACACCCTAAGTGATCCACGTTCAACATTTTAAGACTAACTGACCAGATAAATCGTACGTGAAGGCCGGTTAACGGTGGTCTACGCTGTGCGGTGCTCAAGTTACCTGGTCCCTGGTCTCTCCACCGTCGTCACCGTCCGACAGAGGTCGACAAGGATATGAGAAGTTCAGAAACAAGCAAAGTATTTACCATTTTCACATAGACCATAATTCACCTTGTTTACCCCCCAAAACTTTGCATAACCATTGTTTTCGATTTCTCTTGAGACGACTGTAATACCCTGGAGAATTTGGAAACATTGGTTATGCAAAATTCTGAGGGGGAAAACAAGGTGCGTCATGGTCTATATGAAAGTAGTGATTACAAGAGATGTAAAGCGTGCGTAAATTAAGCTATTTGACGGACAACCTAGTCCCAAGGTCTCCCAGGAGTTGTGCGGGGTTGCGTAAATGAAGACTACGCGACGAGCCAACGCGACGCGCTCAGGAGGGTCTACTGAAACTCCCTGACGAGAGACAACCTCTGAAGCGCAAGGAAAATTGACGAAAATTACTTCTTCTTGGCACTCAGACTGGTGATAAATTAGCCAAACCACCGTTCTTTGTCGCATATTCTCGGCTTTGCCGTCACTGTCGCAATTTGGCCGAGAGAGGTTGTCGCTTGTCGCCATTTCATTTTAGGCTCTGTCGCTACTTTTTGGGTCATGTCGCTTGTCGGAATTTACCCTGGCAGGGCCTCTAGTTAGTTTCTTCATCGCCTTTGTTCACAAATAAACACAGTATAAAATGTTGAAGGCCAAAGTCAACATCCAAGTCCTCAAGGTTGACAGTCGTCTTATAACGTTATTTAAACATTTTTTCCGAGGTTAAGAGATTTAGACCTCCGAAATGAGCATTTTCTTTAAAAATTTTGGTCCGTATAGCAAGTTACGGACCGCAAATTGACCAATCGCACGGCGAAAACAGACTCAGCCATATAATAAGTTGATTTGTGGACTGAATCGGTGGGACACGTATTTCTGTTGTTATACTCTCATTTGCACGTGCTGTACTCAAATTGTCTTTTTTACTTCCGTACACTACTGGACGGTTGCTTGGCCTTATTCTAATACGTTAATCGTCATGAAAAAAATTAGATTAGACTGATGTATGACTCACTGTGAAGGAAAACTACTTTTACGATCGGATTCATTAATTCTTGAACGAGCTCCTAAGAGACAGATCAATCCTGATCTAATCGTGTCAGATGTTGGACAATCGCAACCAGAATGAAATGAATAACAAAAACATAGATAATTTGAGATTCATTTAGAAGGAAAGATATTCCCTAAGTTTCAGTGAGCACCAGCCTTTTGTTTGAGTTAAGTGAAAGTCTAGGAATATAACAACATTTTTTTTCCCGTAGCTGCCACCAGCAGCCCATAAGCTTACGGTAGCAGGAAATAAAACTTGCTTACCATGACTATGTTGAGTTTCCGCTATTTTTTATTAATATACTGGGCTTTATGTTAAGCAACTAGATTGTTTCTTCAAACCAGACAGCCATGCTAGTTAGTGATATGACTGCTATAATGATTAGTTTACTTAAGATTATTATTGGTTGTTTGAGAGGAGTTTGCAGGTGTTGCCCACGACTTCCCGTTCAGTTTATTGCTAACAACCATCACAATTAAACACGCACGCAGTTTGAGCGTCTGACAAATGTTATTACTTTCCACAGCTATCACTACTCCAGTGCTTTTTTCTCTTAGGATTTCGTTTAGGATTACGAAGGAGCACGGAAACTTGGTGAGACAACGTCTGTAATTTTCATTTCTCTCAGAAAACTGTCTTCCTCACGTCTTTTTTGTGCTATTTAATTGAAAATGGCACAATTTGCTTTTATAAACGGCTTCATAAAAGTAGAGCGCTTATATTTGCTTGATTTTTAAACCGTTTCAATTTTACAAACATATATCTAGCTGGACTTTCATAGAAAACGCGACTATTCAAAGGTCCTTGTTGCTCACCATTTTTTTTTTTCTTTCAAAAACGAAAAGTGCGTCAGTTACATTTTTCTTTCCTTTTCCTCCTAATCCTTTCTCCTCGCTCTCTCTCGCTGTACAAGCTATATAAACCTTAGACATGAGCCGACACCAAGGGCCCGTTTCTCAAACTTAAAGTCTCACAGCTTTTCAGCTTGGGTCCTAGTTCAGTGAAAAACCAAATCAAACAAAAGAAGCAAACAAACCAAAAACCTAAAAAAGCAGTCCATTTTGTTTTGTAACCGATGGGTATGTTATCGGTGACCGGTAATTGCCGAAACTGCCGAGGAAAGGACCCCGGGATGGGAGCAACGGAAATTGAGCCCACATATTTTTATTCCTTTTACAGTTAATAGGCGCTGTTTTCGCCAAATGGACTTCAACAAGTGGAACGTCTTCTGGAGTTTGTGCTTTGGGCTGTTGTCCTTTCTAATCATCGCTGGAAATGCTATATCCATATCAATACTTTTCAAGAGAAGGCTACGAAAGCGTCCTCATTTCTTGTTAATAAGTTTGGCTTTCGCTGATCTCTTGGTTGGATTAATTCCAGTGCCACTTTACATCATAAGCCAAGCAGACATACCACATTTTAGTTTAACTACTTATGTGTTTTTTTTATTTGTGGATATGTTTGCGGGCTTAAGCTCGATCTTCACCCTGACGGCTATTTCCCTGGAAAGACTCCACGCTATTTCTCGCCCTCTTCGCCATCGACAACTCACCTCACGTAGCTATGCAATTGCCATAGCAACCCCATGGATCTTCTCCCTTATTGTGTCGTTATCTTATTTGCTCTCAGTTTTTTCTGTTATAACCTACCTTCAATTCTTTTCGGGGACAACTATTAGTTTGTCAACATCTTTGTTGGTAACGTGCATTTCCTATTTCATCATTTGGAGGAAGCAAGCTTCTAGAATTCCCAATGAAGCTCAAGCAAGAAAGAATATTCACTTAAATAAGACGCTGCTATTGATAACCGCAATATTTTTTCTTTCTTGGCTGCCTTTCTACATTTTAAATATTGTAATCAGTTTCTGTATTTCTTGTGAAATCTTTTTTGTTAAAGTATATGTCTTGAAGTTCCTTCAGTATAGCAATTCCTTTATGAATTTTCTAGTTTATTGTTTTAGAATGCCAGATTACAGAAAAGCGCTTCCAAGAATGTTTCATAAATGTATATGCATTCGTTGAAGAGTCGTCCAGTCTCTTATCCGCTGGTCGAGAGTGCAGCAGGTGCCTTGATATTCAAGCAATTTGTATTTGTAAAATAAGATACGTATGTTTTAAGCACTTAGTCGTGACAAAGTTAGGAAAAGATATTTCCAGTATTATCCAACAACTAGTTTGTCTGGCATTAAAATAAAAGTGCAGCTTGCACTGAGGAGAATCTGTATTTCCCTTGCTATTGAGTCTAGTTTACAAGTCAGATAGACATTGGAAATTTACAGTCAATTTTATCGCGGTTTCATTGATTGTCAGCGTGAGAGAATGAACTTGCGCTTTAATGTCATATGTTGACGAAATAACGTTAATGATCAAGCATTGCCATCTGAATATGAACTTTCAGTTATTATTCTTTGTGTATGGTGTTTTAAATTACGTTAATTGTCAAATTAAGTAGTTTATTCTAGAAATTTCTAGGTAAATTCACAGGTAAAAATCGTATCACTATGGTCTTTCCTACTCATGTCTCCTTCTGCTGGAGTCTGACCTTTTTGACAAAGACATCAGTTTCGTTGAAGATCTGTACACGCGTTGATCATGCATGCTGTTTCACATCGACGTTTTACACTCTTTAATTTTTTATTTGTTGGCTTTTTAATAAATCGCTGTTGATCAAAAGTTGTTGTCAGTACAGTCGAACCTACATGTGCGACCACCTCCCATATGCGACCACCTGTATCCGGCAAAACACAGGCACTTTCCCAGTCAAATCCGTACAATTAGAACCTCTCGTAAACGAAAAGCGACTGCGATCACTTTTTGGCCTTAAAGCTATATTTCTTTCAATTGTTTTCAACATCTTGTAGGCAACCACTGCACTTGGCGCATGTTAAGTTAGCTGACGAAAGTCCTACACTACTCACAGTATGCGAAGGCCTTTTAGTGAGAACAGGAAACTATGGCACATATTGTAACTCAAAACTCTTTGGGAAAGAGACACACGGCGGATCAATTCTACTAAGCGACGACTCTATCTGACTTTGGGTGGTCGCGTACGGGAGATTCGACTGTGTTGCATATACAGTCAGGGGCACCCAACGACCGTTTTCTGGGAAATGATCTGAAATGGCTCGTTATGCATCCTGGAGTGCTTTAAAAGCAATATAAATCAATAATTCGCATCGCTAAAAAAATTTGATCTGTTCGGTCGTCCTAGGAGTGGTTTGAACCTCTCGAATTTTTTAGGGCTGTTTTTCGCCTTTCCCGAAAATAACAGCCTACAGTGAAAGCTTTCCGAAAACGTAAGATTACCAGACGAGCTTTTCCCTTAGCCGAAATTTTTAGGGGTCCTTTCAATTTTGTTCCGAAAACTCTATCTCTTGTGGGAATGTCTTCGAATTTTCTAGGGCGACGTAGAATGTATAGAAAATTCTAGGTGTAATAATAAGAATAATTATAATAAAAAAATAAGAAGAACAAAAATAAGAACAATAGAAAAGGCATTTAAGTGATTTTAATGCCAGTTTCAAACGTCTTGTACCCTGCCGAACTCAATTCGCACGGCACTTACTGAAAAATCTGAAATACGGCATGGCACTGACTGATTAGCCCGGTTTTTTGCTATTCTTAGTTTACGAAAGCTACGAAATTTCTAGATGCCGAAATCAGAATCTAGAGATTACTACAAAGATCCGAAATTCATAGGTGAACAAACCACACAAATCCCGAAACTCTGAGCCCAACAACCAGTCACCACGAAACATTTTCGAAATTTTTAGCTGTTCTTGGGCTCTCGAAAATTTTAGCCATTCTAGAGGGCTCCGAACAGATATTTCCCAGAAAACGGTCGTTGGGTGCCCCTGTATACAGTCGACTCCCGATAACTCGAACCCCCGCTAACTCGAACCAAAATCGATTTCCCCTGGATTTCCGTCATACTTTCACTGTAATTTTACCCTCGGTAACTCGAACCCTCGATAACTCGAACTCCCGCTAACTCGAACCAATTTTCGTTTTCCCTCAGGTCATTTTCTATATAATTTTACCCTCGATAACTCGAATCATGTTTTGAGCCCTTCAAAAGTCGGGAAAAAAGCCATCTACGGGCGTCCGAAACATTTAATTTTGGATTTCCTAGTATAGTTTAAGTTGAGGCTGATGTTGATTGTCACAGGCTAACGTGAAGCACCTTTTCTTCTCAAAACAGTAAAACGCATGCTCTATTTAGGCCATGTTTTGTTACATTACGTTCTGTTTTATAATCTAGAAGTATCTTTTAGATGCAGTCGTTAAATAGTCGTCGAGTCTTTTATCCGCTAGTCAGGCCACACTGAAGCACGGATCTGGTGCTTAGTATTTATCTCACTTATAATTACTCCGTTTTCAAGAAATTCGTATTTGCAAAATACACGCATGCAAGTCCTAAATAGTCTTTACAAAGAAATAAAGGAGTTTTATCAGGAAAAGATATTTCCGTAGTGTCTCGCCTGGTGTCCAAGTCACTAGTAGTCAGAAGTTAGCTTGCACTGACGATAACCTGATTCCTTTGCTATTGAATGTACTACTTCACTAGTATAGACATTGTAAATTTACTTTTGTGGTGGTTTCATTGATTGTCAGCATGAGAGAATGAACTTCAGGAACTTGGGCTTGATGTCAAATGTTAACGGAAGAGCAAATATGATGAATCAAACATGGCCATCTGAGTATGAACTTTCAATTATTAATCTTTGTGTATGGTTTTATTTCCCAAATTAAGTAATTTACTGTAGAAATTACTAGGTAAATTCACAGGTAAAAATCGTATTAGTCTTTTCTCCTGACGTCTCTTTCTACTGGAGTCGGACCTTTTTGACAAAGACATCAGTTTCGTTGTCGATCTGTACGCGAGGGTGCCGCATTTTCCTTTTGATAGGTGTAACTCTTCGTCTAATAAAATCCTCAAGTCTAGTGGTAAGGATTAACCTGTTCCAAGGTTTAGGTGCTGCAACACTGAAAGGTCTGTCAATAAACCTGGCTTTTCACCGCGACATCGGTAGAATAAAAATCCTTTTGTTACCTCCTAACTTACATAGTGACATCTTTTTTCGATGGTTTTCGAAACGTTCTTGTTATCAAAAGGATTTTTTCAAAGTAGGAAACAATTCTTACAACTCTTAGCTTAGGTTGATTTATGAACTGAACACTGAGGCGGGACACGTATTTCTGTTGTTATACACTCGCTTGTATGTGCTGTAGTCAAACTGTCTTTTTTACTTCCGTACACTACTGAACGGTTGCTTGGCCTTATTCTAATACGTTAATCGTCATGAAAAAAATTAGATTAGACTGATGTATGACTGACTGTGAAGGAAAACTACTTTTACTATCGGATTCATAAATTCCTGAACGAGCTCCTAAGCATGAGACAGATCAATCCTGATCTAATCGTGTCAGATGTTGGACAATCGCAACCAGAATGAAATGAATAACAAAATATAGATGATTTGAGATTCATTTAGAAGGAAAGATATTCCCTAAGTTTCAGTGAGCACCAGCCTTTTGTTCGAGTTAATTGAAAGACTAGGAATATAACAACATTTTTTTCCCGTACCTGCCACCAGGAGCCCATAAGCTTATGGTGTCCTGCTGCCAAATTATCAAATTGAAACGATAAATACGTTTATACACTCCCGTAGTTCCCCCGAAAACTATCTGATTCCAGACCCAAATGGGCAAAGTCTATACCCCTTTTCAGACCAAAACAAGGCAAAGCCTCTACCCTTTGGGGTGCTACATACATATGTGGCTTATATAAGGGAGTACACCCTGGGGGGAAGTAATGGAATGCTGACGGAGAAGGTCGGAGAACGTTCGGCTTAACAGGTCAGTGGTGATGACGTGTCACATATGACGTCATACTACATAGGCTGAGAAATGTTCTACTTTTATTGATATCATGCATGCTGTTTCACGTCGACCGTCCTTTTACACTCATAACATTTTTGGTTTTACTTTAAAAAATCGCTGTTGACTGTTGTCAGTAAAGTCGAACCTCCCTGCGCGACCACCTCCCATAATTTTAATTTATTAGCTTTGCCCTGATGAATACCAAAAAACTGAAGATATGCAAATACTAGTAATAAGAACGTAACAGTACATTAATAAAAACTTGAATAATTTAGGCAGGGACACCGCAACAGCTAAAGCCAATTACTGCTGACCCCAGGCGACCAAGCGACCACCAGGATCCGGCAAAACACAAAAAAAATCCCCAGTCAAATCCCTATATAAGGGACTGTGCAATAATTATCAGGGGGGACTGAAAAACTAGAGTTATCTAGCAAAAACTTAGACAGTACCCCCCTCCAAAACAAAAAAAATTAGTTCTAACCTCCCCCCTCTGTTATGTTAAAAATAACGTCGCGCCCCCCCTCCCACCACCCACCGACCCACACACACACCCACCCCTCACTGCCACCATTGCCATAGATGCCTTTAACTAAATACCTTTTATATTGTATCGAGAAGGATGTTGATCACTTGATTGAAGATCACAAAGAGAGCATAAAGCATTTACTAAGTACCGGGGTGCTTACCACATTGGTTTAAAATCTAAAACTTCTGAAGCCAGAAAGAGAAAGGAGCAGAGAAAAAAAATCAAAGAACAGGAGATTGAACGCTTCAAATAACAGACGAAAAAGAGCTTGCATTGTATTTAGATACTTGGGAGGAGAGCCTGCTGAACTTTGTTATGAGCCAGATATATATGGAATTCAGCAAATCGATTCAGTCGATGAAGAAACATTACTTTTATTCACATCAAAAACCGACAAAGCTTGTCTACGAGATCTGTTTGATTCCCATTGTTTTGTGGGGGAAGCTGAGAAACAAGTTCATGATTTTTGCTTTACATAGGATCAGCTCAATTAATTAGAAGACGGGTTAAAATTGATCAGTTGTGAATTTGCTTTTCATTTTGATGGAATATTTTCAATAATAGTTTAACAGCTGTTCGTATTGATATTTGTTACAGTCTATCATGATGCCTGTATTGAGAATCTTTTACTGCGTTTAATTTTATTTACATTGCGAATAAAACTTAAGGCCCCCCCTCCGTCAAATGAGTGATTTTACTTTGAGCCCCCCCTATCTTGGCAGCAATTTTATGTAATGCCCCCCCTCTAGTTTTTCAGCCCCCCCTTCCTGATAATTATTGCACAGTCCCTAATCAGAATCTCTCGTAAACGTTTTTAACCTCTTGTAAGCGCCACTTGAGGCATGGCCATGGTTTGATCACTATATATTCGCTTAGTGTCCTATACTACTCACAGTATGCAAAGACCTTTAGTGTGTCTCAGTCACCTTGGAAACGGGCCCCACCTTGCGACGGCTTCTTTATTACAAAGTGTGACACAGTTATTACAAATTGCGACAGTTCGAACTAAAGGTAAAAAGGCATTAAAAATCTGGATATGAGGATCTAGTAATAATCATCTCTTTACTAAGCTACTAGCCAAACATGGTAAACCCAACCTACCTCCCTTTGATACAACAGACGGATACAGAACATGTTTTAAACTGTCTTGGGATCATTCCATTTTTCGTGCTCTCCATTTTCCCACTCCCCTAAAAAGGAGAACAATGTCAGTAAGGTTTGAATAAACCCTTTTGGAACTTTGAATCTAGGTCAGTTGAAAGTACTATTTTAGCGCAGTTGAACTTCCATGCCCCTAACTCGGGGCACCGGCAGGTGGCCGCTCAACGATTGGCTTAATCTCAACCCTCGGACTTACGAGGGGGGGGGTATGCTTGATAAAATCCAAGATGGAGACCATGTTTGGTGACGTCACAGCCTCTAGCAGCACCACCACCCATAAAATATACCCCATCTTGTAGAGAAGATCAAAGGCTTTCCACTGAAGGCAAAATCGTTTTGAAATATTGCAACGTACCAAAAACCTAAGGAGGGTTCGATCATCCCCCCCCCCCCCCCCTTCCTTGTACCACGGTGAGGGTATGACTTTGCGTTTACGTCCGAGGGTTAATTAGCAGAAACATCATTAAAAAAACAAACAAACAAACAGGCCACGGGAGCCGCATTACTGATCATTACCCAATCGGTATCATTACTGTATTTTCCTTCGCCATCAGTTTTGAGAATGTATCAAGCGGGTTGATAGCCGTTACTGACAGAGGTTAAGGTGGCTCGATACAGTTTTTCAGGGTCAATACCTCCCAAGTTTGAGCATAAACTACGTCGCCATGAACAAAGATTGTGAAAAATTGCCACCACAGTTGTATCAGATAAAGATGAAAATTTGTTATGATTAAGGTTGCAATGACATCGGAGTTGTCGTAGCAACGAAATGACGCTATTACCTATTTTTCTCGGCACTGGGAACTGTTCTTCCAAAATCGTTTACGGGAGCTTTTTCTTCCAATAGAGGCCTCGATGTTCGTGAAGTTTAAGCGAAATTTGTGATGAAGTTTTTATGGTTAGAAATACGCTAAAAGAATGGACAATCTTGATGTTTGGCTGTTATCTGTAGCAAACGAAGCGCTTTCGAGATGCAATTTCACCTCATAGTAGTTTCAATCTTTTTAAAAAGGTGTGTGAAAGATCATGGAGATAGCAGGCTCCAGCCGATTGCTAGAAAGAAGGATTTGATTAGTATGTATCGAGGCGCTCTTGTTAGTGGTTTGTAAACATTTTGGTCTGCTTTAACAAATTAACGAATATTTTTTAAAACTAAAAGGTCATATAAAGGGAAGGTTAATCTCAAGAATCTTTAATTTCTAAAGAAATCCATCGGGCGGTTTAAAAATTATTCGCTAATTTGTTAAAGAAGATTAAAATGTTTACAAAACCGCTAACAAGAGCGCTTCGATACATACTAGTCAAACCCTTCTTTCTAGCAGTCGGCTGGAGCTATCTCCATGATCGTTCACGCACGTTTTTAAAAAGATTGAAACTACTATGAGGTGGAATTGCATGCCATAAGCGCTTCGGTTTCTACAGATAACTATCAAACATCAAGATTGTTCATTTTTACCGTGTTTCTAACCATAAAAAATTTATCCCAAAATACCTCGATATTCGCTTAAACGTTACGAACATCGAGGCCGTTATTGGAGGAAAAAGCTCCCGTGAACGATTTTTAAGAACAGTTCTCAGTGCCGAGAAATACTGCTGCAAGCAAAATAGCTAATAGCGTCATTTCGTTGCTATGACAACTCCGATGTCGTTGCAGCCCTGATCATAACAAATTTTCACCTTTATCTAATACAACTGCGGTGGCAATTTTTCACAATCTTTGTTTATGGCAACGTAGTTAATTTATGCTCAAACTTGAGAGGTATTGACCCTGAAAAACTGTATCGAGCCACCTTAATTTACATTTTTTATTCTACCGTAATTATTTCGGAATCGTAATAACTGGCCGCTCAATATAGGAAAGCGGCATCATAGGTGGCCGCCTAATGGAGGTTCATGTATTTTATACCAACTCTTTGTGTTTAGTCTAACAGAGCGACATTGGCGTAGAGTACAGTAGCCTAGTTATGTCCGGCAAATCAGTGAAACGAAAGTGGGGCGAAAACGGTGGCAGGAAATAAAACTTGTTTACCATGATCATAGTTAATTGAGTGGAATGGTTATGAAACCCGTCAGACTCCTTTGTTCTATGTTTTTGTGGACCTGAAAGTGCACAACATTCAAAAGAATTCCTATCATTTTGATTGTATTGACCAATAAAAACGTTGCATTAATTTATTCCGTAACAATTTGCCAACAGAAAACAAAGTATTGTGCACTTTCACGGTACTTCCAACATAAACTGCAGCACTGTTGTTTTTATCATTGATGTTTGCCGCTTTTCATAACCAGTCTCCTCTAATAACTATGCCATGATTATGTTGAGTTTCTGCTATTTTTTATTGTCACATAGAGCTTTATGTTAAACAACGAAAAATTGTTTTTTCAAAATCAGACAGCCATGCTAGTTAGTGATATGACCGCTGTAATGACTAGTTTATTTAGGATTGTTATTGGTTGTTTGAGAGGAGTTTGCAGGTGTTGCCAACGACTTCCCGTTCAGGTTATTGCTAACAACCATCACAAAACACGTACGCAGTTTGAGCGCGGTCTGACAAATGTTATTACTTTCCACAGCTATCACTACTGCTGTACTATTTTCTCTTAGGATTTCGTTTAGGATTACGAAGGACCACGGAAACTTGGTAAGACCACATCTATAATTTTCCTTTCTCTTAGAAAAGTCTCTTCCTTACTTTCTTGTTGTGCTATTTAAAAATGGCACAATTTGCTTTTATAAAGGGCTTCATAAAAGTAGCGCTTATATTTACTTGATTTTTAAACCGTTTCGATTTTACAAACATATATCTAGCTAGACTTTCATAGAAAATGCGACTACCCTAAAGACCTTGTTGTTCATCAAGTTTATTTTGTTTTCTTTGAAAAACGAAAAATGCATTAGTTGCATTTTTCGTTCCTTTCTCCCCGCTCTCTCTCGCTGTACAAGCTAAGACATTAGCCGACACCAGGGGCCCGTTTCCCAAACTTAAAGTCCCGCAGCTTTTCAGGCCCGAGCCAAATATTAAAAATAAAATTTGAACAATGAAAGCGTGGTCCTAGTTGAAAAAAAAAAAAACAAAACAAAACAAAACAAAAGAAACAAAGAAAAAATAAAAAAGCAGTCCATTTTGTTTGGTGACCGATGGGTATGTTATCGGTGACCGGTAATTGCCGGAAATTCCGAGGAAAGGACCCAGGACCCGATGGAAGCGACGGAAATTGAGCCTACATATTTTTATTCCTTTTACAGTGGATAAGCGTCGTTTTCGCTCTATGGACATCAACAATTGGAACGTCTTCTGGAGTTTGTGCTTTGGGCTGTTGTCCTTTCTAATCATCGTTGGAAATGCTCTATCCATATCGATACTTTTCAAGAGAAGGCTACGAAAGCGTCCTCATTTCTTCTTAATTAGCTTGGCTTTCGCTGATCTCTTGGTTGGATTAATCCCAGTGCCACTTTACATTATCATTCAATACTCACGATATCGAATTTTTGGTTTGGTTTATATTCGCGTGGATATGTTTGCAGGCTTAAGCTCGGTCTTCACCCTGGCGGCTATTTCCCTTGAAAGACTACACGCAATTGCTCGCCCTCTTCGCCATCGACAACTCACCTTACGCAGCTATGCGATTGCCATAGCAACCCCATGGATCTTCTCCCTTACTGTGACTTTAGTTCCCGTTTTTCCTTTTATAACCTCTATTCAGGCCAGTTCTGTGATAATTATTAGCTTGTCAACACCTTTGTTGATAACTTGCATTTCCTATTGTATCATTTGGAGGAAGCAATCTTCTAGAATTCCCAATGACACTCAAGCAAGAAAGAATGTTCACTTAAATAGGACGCTGCTATTGATAACCGCAATATTTGTTCTGTCATGGTTGCCTTTTCAAGTTTTAGTAGCTGTTTTAAATTTCTGCATCTCGTGTCAACGTTTAAACAAAACTCTGATAATTTTACTTTATGTTATTATGCTTCTCCACTATAGCAATTCCTTTATGAATTTTCTAGTTTATTGTTTTAGAATGTCAGATTACAGAAAAGCGCTTTCACGAATGTTTCCCAAATGCAGATGCAGCCGTTAAAGGGTCGTCGAGTCTTTTATCCGCTGGTCCACACTAAAGAAGGTCCCGTGCTTAATATCTATCTCATTTACTCTATTATCAAGCAATTTTTATTATTTTTATTTTTATTATTTTTAATTTCAAGCAATTTTTATTATAGACGCATGCAGGCAGTAAGTATTGACAAAGAAATAAAAGTGAGTTTTAGGAAAAGATATTTCCAGTAGTGTCCAACAAGTAACCAGTGTCTTGCATTAAAATAAAACTCAGTTTGCACTCAGTAGAACCCATGTATTTCCCTTGCTATTGATTGTAGTTTACAAGTAAAGACATTGTAAATTTACAGTTTTATCGTGTGGTTTCATTGATTGTTAGAGCTTGTTAGCATGAAAGAATGAACTTGGGCTCGATGTCAAATGTTAACTGAATAACAATACCATATCAAACATTGCCATCTGAGTATGAACTTTTAATCATTATGCTTTGTGTATGGGTTTTTAAATTACGTTTCTCAAATTAAGTAATTTTATTCTAGAAATTTCTAGGTAAATTGACAGGTAAAAATCGTATTAGTCTTTTCTTCTCATGTTTCTTTCTGCTGGAGTCTCACCTTTTTGACAAAGACATCAGTTTCGTTGACGTTTGGATCTGTAGACACAGTGACGCGTTTTCCTTTTGATAGGTGTGACTCCTCGACTAATGAAATCCCATCTAGCGGTAAGAATTAACATGTTCCAAGGTGTAGGTGCCGCAACACTGCATAAAAGGTGTGTCAATATACCTTGCTTTTTACCGCGACATTGGTAGGATAAAATCCTTTTGTTATTTCCTAACTGACATAGTGACATCTCTTTCCGATGGTTTTCGCAACGTTCTTGTTATCAAAAGGATTATTTCAAAGTAAACAATTGTTGCTTCTCTTAGCGTAGGCTACTTGGGGGTGGACCATTTGATTTTTGATGGGGGGTTTGCAGGATTTTTAGACTGCTAGATATTTTTTTTTATTGCTCCAGCCCTGCAGGATTTTTTTTTTTAATCTCCCTGTCCTTGCATGATATTTTTTTTAATGGAAATTTAAAACACAAATTTTGAAGTTTAATAACTTGACCATCACCAGCCACTCAAAATTCACCCTTTAGGCTATTAAAAACCACCTTTACACGCAATGCATTTTTAAGTTTACATCTTTCTTTCAAAGTAATAAAGAGTTTCATCTTTATTCAGTGTACAAAGAAATGCATCTCCACTAACCTGCGGCTAGTTGATTTCCCTGTCAGGCTAGTGGATGTCATACATGCCTTCTCGACTCAAACAAAACTTTATATTGGTCTGTTGCATTTTTATAGGAGCTGTGACTATTGCATAAAATATTTTACAATAAGCAGTCTTTAGAAAATAGCATTCTCAAATAGACCTATCTTATGGACTGTTGCATTTTTATTTTTACTGTTGCATAAAATATTTATAGAGAAAAATTTCAATTGTTATTTATTGATCAAATGATTTTTATTACAAATCACAATTTGCAATATTTTAAATATTTATAGAGAGAATTTTTCTCTCCAAAAGCTGCGATTATTTTGGTCAGCACCGAGTATCGAGACCTGGCTGCTCTGCAAAGCCACTACCGGAAGTCCACATTTAATGCACTAGCTCTTCAAATCTGACAAATCTGATTGCCTGAAAACTGCAGAATGAGTGCTCTGCACATGCTCAAAAATTGGGACCAGCGAGGGGTATCAATTCCAGGTGCTGACCAAAAGGATTGCACCCTCTGGAGATGAGAATGTTGCAAATAGCTATTAAAGCTTTGCACCTTACATGTAAATTTGGCTAGATATGCAGATGTACGTATACAGGATGTTGAAGACAACCTTGTTCATTTATAAAGAAAATTTTAAACTGTTATTATTCTTAAGGCACAATTGTTCTTGATGGATAAATATAGACAATTTCTGCCAGCATGTGGCTTATTAAAGACATTGTTAAATAAACATTTGTCACTACAGTTGTCAATAGGTGAGAAAATCAGATTGGTAGTTGACCCCTTTGAATCATCTTTTATATAGGTACATGATCTATAAAATTACAATATTTCAATGCCTAAAGAATTAAAACAATTACGTTTTAATTTATGTGCTACAGACTGTTTACTATTGTTTTCTTCCCTTGAAAATAGGCAATGAACACAAAAGTAATAGAACTCTGCAAAAACACGAATGACCCAGAGGGAAAAAAATGCTCTTCGATCTATTTGATCGTCTTTTGTCTCGTGCACAAATCCAGCGCATCCGTTTCACATTCTTTGTATATTTTGAACCCTGCACCAATTCAATGTGGCCTGCCTTTACTCTTGTTTGTCCCATTTCCTTTTCTATAAAGTAAATCTTATTTTGTTACAAAAATACCTGCACGTGACAACTGTTAGGGTGGGAATCGGAATGCATGAATATCTTTGAACCATAATATCCTTCTAGATCAGAGGGTTCACTTTAATAGGAAATCTAATTGGTAAATCATGCGTCGCGCTTGCAAAATACTAATTCACGCATCAAAAAATGTGATGCCCAGTCCTGTATCATGTGACTCAGGGCTACTTTTGGGGCCGTCACGCATCACGCAAAATCCTTTGCCACTCCCAGGTTCGATTTTTTTTTCCTTCTTAAGAATTCTGCGAGAAATTTTTTTTTAACCAGAAACATATGCTCGATATTTTTTTTGGGATTTGCACAACCCCCCCATCAAAAATCAAATGGTCCACCCCTTATGGACTGAATAGGCGGGACACGTTTTTCTGTTGTTATATACTCACTTGCAAGTGCTGTACACAAATTGTACAGCCTCTAGCTAACAATTTTGTAAAATTAATATAACTTAGAAGTAATTGTAAATTTTCAATTTTAATTGTTAGAAACAATCTTAAGTTTGTAACTTTATCTTTGCCTTTTTTACTTCCGTACACTACTGAACGATTGCTTGGCCTTATTCTAATACGTGAAAAAAAATTAGATTAGACTGATGTATGACTGACTGTGAAGGAAAACTACTTTTACGGTCGGATTCATAAATTTCTGAACGAGCTCCTAAGAGGCAGATCAATTCTGGTCTAATCGTGTCAGATGTTGGACAATCGCAACCAGAATGAAATGAATAACAAAAATATAGATGATTTGAGATTTATTTAGAAGGAAAGATATTCCCTAAGTTTCAGTCAGCACCAGCCTTTTGTTTGAGTTGAGTGAAAGTCTAGGAATATGACAACATTTTTTTTTCCCGTACCTGGCACCAGGAGCACATAAGCTTATGGTGTCCTGTTGCCACCGACTATCAAATTGAAACAATAAATACGTTTATACACTCCCGTAGTTCCCCCGAAAACTATCTGATTCCAGACCCAAATTGGCAAAGTCTATAACCGTTTTCCGGACCAAAACAGCGCCAAAACCTCTACCCTTTGGGGTGGCTTATATAAGGGAGTACCCCTGGGGAGAAATAATGGAATGCTAACGGAGAAGGTCGGAGAAGGTTTCAACTTAACAGGTCAGTGGTGATGACGTGTCACATATGACGTCATACAAGGATAGGCTGAGAAATGTTCCACTTTTATTGATATCATGCATGCGGTTTCACGTCGACCGTCGTTTTACACTCATAACATTTTTGTTTCTGCTTTAAAAAAATCGCTGTTGATTGTTGTCAGTAAAGTCGAACCTTCATGTGCGACCACCTCCCATAAGCGACCACCAGGATCAGGCAAAACACAAAACCATCTTCAGTCAAATCCCTATAATCAGAATCTCTCGTAAACGTTTTTAATCTCTTGTAAGCACCACTTGAGGTACGGCCATAGTTTGATCACTATATTCGCTGAATGTCCTATACTACTCACATTATGCAAAGACCTTTAGCGTGTCTCAGTCACCTTAAAATTGGCCTCTAAGCTAATTTTCTCAAGCTCTTGTGGACAGTTATTACAAATTGCGACGGCTTCCTTATTAAAAAGTACGAAACGGTTATTACAAATTGCGACAGTGCGACCTAACGGTAAGTGTTAAAGACATTAAAAATTTGGATATGAGGATCTACTAATTATCATCTCTTTACTAAAGCTACTAGCCAAACATGGTAAACCCAACCTACCTCCTTTCGTCTTTTTGATACAACAGACGGATACAGAACATGTTTTAAACTGTCTTGGGATCATTCCATTTTCGTGGACCCCATTTTCCCCCTCCCCTAAAAAGGAGAACGATTTCGATAAGGTTTGAATAAACCCGTTTGGAACTTTGAATTTAGGTCAGTTGAAACCACCATTTTAGCGCACAGTTGAACCTCCATGCGGCCACACTCGGGGCACCGGCAAGTGGCTTCTTGATGGCGGTTTGCCACTCAAAGAGTGGCTTAATCTTAACCCTTGGACGTACAGGAGGGGGAGGGGATGGGTGGCTGCCACCCCCCCGTAAGATTTTTCTGATTTTTTTCCTAGACGATAAAATATCAGCACCGGCCTAAAGTTTTCTGTAGCTGTTTGTTTATCCTTCGCGCACATTTTGAGACAAGTTTAGTGATGGTCAGTTACTATGGTTACGAGATATGACGTCATAAGTAGCAAGTGGTCGAGCCATTTTTGAGTGAAAATGCATGTTTTTTCAACTTTTTTCAACAATAAAAGTAAAACTTGTGGATGAAATGATACAAAGTAATTATTAATGTGTTATTTTACATGTTAAAAATTATTAATTCTCACTTTTTTTACCTGACTTCTAATGCTTGATAAAATCCAACATGGCGACCATGTTTGGTGACGTCACAGACCTCCAACACCACCACCACCCATAAAATATACCTCCTCTTTTAGAGAAGATCAAAGGCTTTTCACTGAAGGCAAAACCGTTTCGAAAAAGTACATATAGTGCAACATACCAAAAACCCAAGGGGGGGGGGGTTCCCTCAACCCCCCCCCCCCCCTTGTACTACGATGGGGGTGTGTTTGTTGCGTGTACGTCCGAGGGTTAATTAGCAGAAACATCATTAAAAAAACAACAAACAAACAAACAGGCGACGGGAGCGGCATTACTGATCATTACACAATCGGTCATCATGACTGTATTTTCCTTCGCCATATTTTGAGAATGTATCAAGCGGTTGATAGCCATTAAAACAGAGGCTTATATATTAATTTTCAATTTTCCATTCTACCGTCATTATTTCGGAAATTTAATAAGTGGGCGCTCAATAAAGGGAGGCAGCATAATAGCTGGCCGCTTAATGGAGGTTCATGTATTTTAAATCAACTCTTTGCGTTTAGTATAATAGAGCGACGTTGGCGTAGAGTACAGTAGCCTAGTTATGTCCGGCAAATCAGTGAAACGAAAGTGGGGCGAAAACGGTGGCAGGAAATAAAACTTGCTTACCATGATTATGTTGAGTTTTCGCTATTTTTTATTGTCACGTAGGGCTTTATGTTAAGCAAATAAATTGTTTTTTTTTTTAAACCAGACAGCCATGCGTGTTAATGATATGACCGCTGTAATGACTAGTTTAGTTAGGATTATTATTGGTTGTTTGAGAGGAGTTTGCAGGTGTCGCCCACGACTTTCCTCTCAGGTTATTGCTAACAACCATTACAAAACACGCACGCAGTTTGAGCGCGGTCTGACAAATGTTATTACTTTCCACAGCTATCACTACTGCTGTGCTTTTTTCTCTTAGGATCGATTTCGATTAGGATTACGAAGGAGCACGGAAACTTGGTGAGACAACGTCTGTAATTTTCCTTTCTCTTAGAAAACTGTCTTCCTCACGTCTTTTTTGTACTATTTAATTAAAATGGCACAATTTGCTTTTATGAACGGCTTTATGAAAGTAGCGCCTATATTTACTTAATTTTTGAATCGTTTCAATTTTACAAACATAAATCTAGCTGGACTTTCATAGATAACGCGACTACCCAAAACTCGTTGTTGTTCAAGCAAGTGTTGTTTTGTCGTTCAAAAACGAAAAGTGCGTCACTTGCATTTTTCTTCCTTTCCTCTCCTAATCCTTTCTCCTCGCTCTCTCTCGCTGTACATGCATGCTATATAAAGCTAAGACATGAGCCTACACCAGGGGGCCGTTCCTCAAATTTAAAGTCCCGCAGCTTTTCAGGCCCGAGCCAAAATCTGAACAATGAAAGCGTGGGTCCTAGTTCAAAAACAAAACAAAACAAAAGAAACAAAGAAACAAACAAAAAACACAAAAAAGCAGTCCATTTTGTTTGGTGACCGATGGGTATGTTATCGGTGACCGGTAATTGCCGGAACGTCCGAGGAAAGGAAGAAAGGACCCGGGACACGATGGGAACGACGGAAATTGAGCCTACATATTTTCATTCCTTTTACAGTTAAAAATAGGCGCCGTTTTCGCCAAATGGACTTCAACAAGTGGAACGTCCTCTGGAGTTTGTGCTTTGGGCTGTCGTCCTTTCTAATCATCGTTGGAAATGCTCTGTCCATATCAATACTTTTCAAGAGAAGGCTTCAAAAGCGTCCTCATTTCTTGTTAATAAGCTTGGCTTTCGCTGATCTCTTAGTTGGATTAATTGCAGTGCCACTTTACATCATGAAACAAGCAGATATACCACATTTTAGTTCAACTACTTATTCGGTTTTTTTATGCGTGGATATGTTTGCGGGCTTAAGCTCGGTCTTCACCCTGGCGGCTATTTCCCTGGAAAGACTCCACGCAATTGTTCGCCCTCTTCGCCATCGACAACTCACCTTACGCAGCTATGCGGTAGCCATAGCAGTCCCATGGATCTTCTCCCTTATTGTGTCGTTATCTTATTTGCTCTCAGTTTTTTCCGTTATAACCTCCCTTCAGTTCAGTTATGTGATAATTATTAGCTTGTCAACACCTTTGTTGATAACTTGCATTTCCTATTGCATCATTTGGAGGAAGCAATCTTCTAGAATTCCCAATGGAGCTCAAGGAAGAAAGAATGTTCACTTAAATAAGACACTGCTATTGATAACCGCGACATTTGTTCTCTCTTGGCTGCCTTTCCACGTTTTAAAAATTGTAATCAGTTTCTGTGTTTCTTGTGAAATCGTTCCTGTTAAACTATATGTTATGAAGTTCCTTCACTATAGCAATTCCTTTATGAATTTTCTAGTTTATTGTTTTAGAATGCCAGATTACAGAAAAGCGCTTTCAAGAATGCTTCATAAATGTAGATGCAGTCGTTAAAGAGTCGTCCAAGGTCAGTCTCTTATCTGCTGGTCGACAGTGCAGCAGGTGCCTTGATTTTCAAGCAATTTGTGTTTGTTGATACGTATGTTTTAAGCACTTAAGTCCTGACAAAGAAATAAAGGAAGTTTAAGGAAAAGACATTTCCAGTATTGTCCAACAAGTAGTTTGTCTGGCATTAAAATAAAAGTTCAGCTTGCACTGAGGAGAATCTGTATTTCCCTTGCTATTGAGTCAGGGGCAGATCTAGGAGGAGGGTGCAGGGGGTGCGCCCCCCCCGAGATGACCTGCAGTTTTCTAATACAACTGGCATTCTGCAAAAAAAAAAAAAAAACTATGTCGTTTATTGGTGTTGAAGTAGAGCAAGAAACGGGTGCACCCCCTCCTAAAAAAAATGCTGGATCAGTCTAGTTTACAAGTCAGATAGACATTGGAAATTTACAGGCAATTTTATCGTGGTTTCATTGATTGTCAGCGTGAGAGAACGAGTCGAACTTGCGCTTTAATGTCATGTGTTAACGGAATAACGTTAATGGTCAAGCATTGCCATCTGAGTATGAACTTTCAGTTATAAGTCTTTGTGTATGGTGTTTTAAATTACGTTAATTCTCAAATTAAGTAATTTATTCTAGAAATTTCTAAGTAAATTCACAGGTAAAAGTGGTATCAGTATGGTCTTTTCTCCTCATGTCTCTTTCTGCTGGAGTCTGAACTTTTTGACAAAGTCAGTGTCGTTAAAGTTTGGATCTGTACGTGCGGTGATCATGCATGCTGTTTCACATCGACGTTTTATACTCATTACATTTTTATTTGTTTGCTTTTTAGTAAGTCGCTGTTGATCAAAAGTTATTGTCAGTACAGTCAAACCTCCATGTGCGACCACCTCCCATATGAGGCCACCTGGATCCGGCAAAACACTCACTCACTCACTCACTTGGTCGCCCGAAGGCGGGCAACCACTAGATCTTTCCACAGCCTCTTATCAGCCATCAGTGCAGCAATCTCACTTGCTTCGAATGCCCCAGTATCCCTCTTAAGAGTGTCAATATAGGTAGTATTCGGTCTTCCTCTCCCGCGATGACCATGTGTGGGCTCCCATAGGACTAATTTCTGGGTACTTAGCTCTGGATGGCGGTAACAGTGTCCCGCAAGTTGTAGTCTACGAGAGGCGATTTTGTTGCTGACTGCTGGTAGATCTCCGTACAGTTGTTGGTTTGGTATGTGGCTGCTCCAGTGGATGTTTAAAGCTTTTCGCAGCATCCTAGTGTATGTGCCATCCAACGACTTTTCTTGTGCTTTTGACAGAGCCCAGCTTTCGCACCCATAAAGTAAGATTGATTCGATGGTGGCTATGAAGAGTCTGATTTTCAAATCTTTAATCATATTGGACTTCCATATTTTCGTCATACCATTCAAGGCTCTCCAAGCCTGTGCTTTCCTTATGCTGATGTCTTTTTCTGAGTTATCAACCCATGACCCTAAATATTTGAAGTCATCCTTCCATTAAAACACACACACTTTTTTCCCAGTCAAATCCCTATAATCAGAACGTCTCGTAAACGACCACCTCCCAAAAGCGACTGCGACTACTTTTTGGCCTGAAAGCTTTATTGCTTTCAATATTGTTTTAAACATCTTGTAGGCAACCACGGCACTTGGCGCATGGTAAGTTCGCTGATGAAAGTCCTACACTACTCACAGTATGCGAAGGCCTTTTAGTGAGAACAAGAAACTACGGCACATATTGTAACACACCCACTGCGGATCATTTCTATTAAGCGACCACCTCCTGTAAGCGACCACGAAATCTACGCATTACGTGGTCGCGTACGGGAGATTCGACTGTGTTGCTAAGAATATATTTCAAATGTTGCGCTTATCAGGACATGGTGAGCTTCCGTCGTCCTTCAAATACTGAGGCTTTAATTTTTAATGGGACCCAGTTCCTCTTTTCATGATCAGGTCAAGGAACGCCTGATTGCTATTGTCAAGGACCACGAGTTGTAATGGCTAGTTTAACTCAGCGTAATCCTCATTTATTTACTGCCTATATCGCAACACAACACTATAGGCATTACTTCCCCGAATCTTACGAAAATAACAAATCAGACGGTGTGTCACTCTTTCAATTTCTTCAATTAATATAATAGACGTTCCTTCACCCATCGGCCGTATCCACAGTGTGAAACCAATGTCCCCCCAGTAGCTGCAGAGGCCAGCCACACAGATGATGTACTGTGCCATCACTTCAGGTAATCTAGTGCGTCCAGTTATGTGGGGTAACATTAACCTAAGTGCTGAGCAGTGTTTTTGTTTAATTCCGCTGGCTGGGCTCCTTTGTGACCATCATTTGAGTACGACGATTTAGCAGCTGTACGCCATCAATAAAGGCACCATGAACCACACCATCTTGTTCGAAGTTTTCGTCAGGAACTGGCTCTCTATAATTTTGACTCATTGCTTTGCAACCATCTGTATCAGGGTCAATACTTTCATTGTTTATCGTGGAAGTGCACTTAACTGCTCAGACGCTCCATAATCAAAGGGGCGTAGCCACCTATAGCACGTCTGCACGCACGTTACGACTTAGCGAAACGTTGCTGGGCAACGTGACCTTTTGGCAACTTTTGATATGTGGAGCAATTACCTTCTGGCAACTGTTGGCATTTCGAACAACTTTTAATTTTTGGGGGGTAACTTGATTATACTCTCAGCAACTTAGGGGGTTTACAAAGTCTTATTTTTACTCTTCAAGCTTTGTAATATCCTCATGAGAACATTGCAGTTCTTTAATATTATAAGTAGCATAAAAAAAAGTGTGAATTCCTGAATCTTGTGCAAGTTGTGGCTGAGGCTCGTGCGCATGCGTGCCTGAAAAACGGCAAGAAGATGAATAAAAAATAGAGTAAAATTGAAAAACAAAGCAAAGAAACAGAAGGTAAGTAAACAGCGTATTATTGTCAATGCAACATGTGCAACTCCGCGTAACTTCACTTGATTGATAGAGTGTTTCCCCCGATTGAGCCACTCTCGAAAGCCGTTCTCGCCCGTTCCGCCTCTAAAAAACACTATCTGGTAAAAAAAAAAAAAAAACCGACATTCAATCAAGTCATACGCGAGAATGCAAGTGACCACTCCAAAAAATACCATAACATACCATAATGCCCTTTGTTTGTTCCCCAAAAATTTTGCATAAGCATTGTTTTCTCTTGGGGCCATTTTAACTCCCAAGAGAAACTGAAGATTTTGCTTATGCAACATTTTGGGGGTAGGGGACAAACAAAAAGCATTATGGTATGTTATGGTATTTTTTGGAGTGGTCAATTTGGGAGACGGATTAGGGTGGATTTGGAAAACTGTGCTTAATTCCAGAAAGTTTATAGCTACACCCGCCCCTAAATCAGAAACAAATGGTTACAAAGTTTTACTGAACTGGATTAAAAACCTGAACTGATAGGAGGTAACCAGTAAGGCCGTCTGTCGCCCCGTTTAAGGGAATCCAAATTCCGGAGTCCGGGAATTTTTTGCTTGTGGAATCCGCAATCCTGGACTTTAGAATTCGGAATATAGCTCAAGGAATCCAGAATCCCGCTAACGATTGGAATTCAGAATCTAAGTTTCACTGACAAAGACTGGAATTTCGTACCTGGAATCTGGACTCCACAGCGTGGAATCCAGAATCCATTACTGTCTTGCCGTTTCCTTTTACAAGGGGGTTGGGGGGGGGGGGGGGGAGGGTTGGGGGGCTTTTGACATTGAATTAAGGACGATAGAGGATTTAAACTCGAGACGGTGACCGATTAATCCTGGCATCTTCTGCGATACTATCGAACTTTTGTTTGTGGCTACTTGCACGCTATTCGCCTGAAAAACTATTCTGATTTTTGCCGAAGGCGGTGTACTTAGTAACTCTTCCCTTAATTCCAGCTTCTCCCCTCCGGAATCTGAGTAATTTTTGCTTGTGGAACCCGGAATCTTGCGCTTTGGAATCAGGAATACAGATCAAGGAATACGGAATGCCATTTAAGATTTGAATCCGGAATCCAAACTCCAGTTGCAAACTCAGGAATCCAGTACGTAATCCAGAATCCAAGACTGTCTTGGATTCTCTTACATGGGGCAAAGCAATCAAGCGGGCTATTCCGATCAGTATCGCCTTATGAGACTAGGTCAGTGTTGTGTCGTATTCGGTTCTATGGACCGAGTGGACAGTGATTGGAACTCCTTCTTTTTTAGCTATTGCTGATTTTCACTGCCACGCCGTCAAAAATAAACATCAAAACGGGGTCTAAATATGGGATTTAGTGATAAGCATTATTTACCCATAATTTTAAGTGTTTGCTGTTGAATTGGCCAGTTTTGTAATGATTACTGTTTCCGGAGAAAATACTGTTACGTGTTGGAGGATTTTTCGTGTAAAAATCGTATCTGTCCACTGTTAAAAAATATATTTTCACATGTGAATATACCGACGATTTTCGTTGATCTTCGGACATCTTCTGCATTCTTCGGAAATCTTCGGGAATCTTCGGTAGTCTTCGGAACTCTTCTGAAATAATCGAAAATTGTCGGAGAATGGCCGAAATTAACAAAATAATATATTGTCCTTTATGAGTGTTAGCCGTGAGTGTTATCGAGGCGCCCTCATTCTAACCCGCTCAAGTTTTTAAATCGATATAGTCCAGAATCTGGGAAAAGAAATGAGATAAATATCCTAAAATCATCGCCAAGATTCAGGTCAGTGCGAGATATTCTTCGGAGAAATGATTTACCCAAATTAATAGATCGATATATAGCGTTTCAAAGAGACGCCATGTTGGTGCCCATCCGGATGGGCACCTTATGGTGGCCGGACTACAGAAACATCCGCTCACTGAGGTTTGCTTCGAAGCGTGGATTTATCTCTCGAGGAACTCATAAACACTAAAGTAATACTTTTTCCAATGCAATGACTGTTAGGATAGCAGTCCTCCAAAACTAAGTCACTTTTTAAACACAACAAGACAGCTCTCACGGCCGCCATGTAAATGCCGGGTTACCCGAAAGCTTAGATCATAGAAATTTAAGCAGGTACTGTAACACAAAACTCATAGAACACTTTCGAAGTGAGACAAATTTTTTTCTGAAATATTAGTCCGGCTTCAGCTGCTCTAATACTTCATGAAAGTAAGCTGAACTCAGAAGGATGGATAATTCCCTGGTTTGAATTTTTTATGACGGCATGTGAAAACCAGCAAGAGATAGTCCCGTATCCCACACCGACCCAGCATCAAACTAGACAAAGTTCTTAAGCTTTCTTTAATCACTAGCATATTATGAAAATATCACTTTAAAAAAATTGCTCACAAAGTCGTTGATACTGTTTCCTTGATTATTCTAGATGTTTATTAATGTGACATCAATTAATTCTTACTATTTTAGAACTTCGCAATTCCTTTTTTTCTCTTCTCCTTTCTTCGCCACTTTTTACCTCTCGGGTGCTTTCTGTGTTTAACTACGTACCACGCAAAGTTTTCTTCAGTAGTGTTTTTATTGTTAACGTTTAGGAGCAACTGACAAAATTCCCTCTCCAAGACCTTACCAGTTTCAAGGTCTCAAATCCTAACATAGTTTTTCGCTTACGCCAAGATATGTTATTACTGATCGAAGCTGTAAAGCTTCGTGTCCAATATTTTTTGTTTTAATTGTCCACGAAAGGACATGAGAAAGCATCCAATCATAGACGGTCCAAAGATCAATAGACTCGATCCAATATATTACCAAAAGTTACACAAATTAAATTTATACGATTTTAATCCATCAAATATATCAAGATAACGTTTCGCCAAATAAGATCATAAACTAAGAAACAGGCAAGCCGAGTTTTCAAGTATTTTTCATTAGTAGTCAACTTAATTAAACTCGGTAAAACACGACAAACATTTTAAATTGTCACTATAATTTTGCATAGCCTTTCAACTGTTGTCGTGTCAAAAACGTTTTTGTACCTTTGACAGCTAGAAAGCTGGCTTTTAACCACCTCTTTTCAACAAATCGCCATGCAAATATAAGTTCGCATTCACCTCCGGCAAACTATATACATTCAGGGCATTCAGCTGCTCGAATGTTTTTGATAATTAAGTGAAGACTACACACATGATCAAAGAACAAAAATACTGGCTTCAAACATAACTGAAATAAAGTTTATTGAGCTTGGAATGCTTCACAGGATGAAAAGAAAAAAAAAGGAAAAAAAAAAGAAAAGAAAAGAAAAAACACAAGCAAAGCCGGAAAACAAATCTTCCAGCACTTTCGATGCAGCTGCACAGAGGGTCCAAAACGCTGAAGATTTAAAGATTTCCGGTCTTTTGACAGTTCCCCGCGCGTTGCCCGCGCGTGTTTCTTCAGCCATGCGCAATGCGATTCTTTTGGGAACATGTAATCATGCGAATATGGCGGATAAATCGAGAGGGCACAATCGCCATGGTAGTGTCGTGCGAATCGGTTATTACAATATCGAAAAAACTATCGGAAAGGGAAATTTTGCAGTCGTCAAGCTTGCCACACACTGCATTACGAAAACAAAGGTACTTTTTTCCCGCGAATTTGCGAACTGAAGCGAATGTCAGCTTGTGACTCCGCTCGGAATGAACAGAGTTTTCTTTCGTTTTTGCACCGATAATAACACGGTTTAAAGCTTTGCAGCTGTCCAGTAGCGAGGAAATGAAAGCAGGAATACTAGACAAATGTTTCAGTGAAGCAATTAACTTGTTTATGTGGGATTTTATTTCTTTTTTATGGACCGCTTTAGTTTCTTGCTTGCTTGTGTTTCTTCCGAACCAGGTTGCTGTCAAAATTATCGACAAAAGTCAATTGGACCAGGATAACTTGAAGAAAATTTTCCGCGAAGTCCAAGTGATGAAGATGCTGGATCACTCGCACATCATTAAATTATATCAGGTAAGATTCAAACCTTTATGTTCACGGTTTTATTCTGTTTTTCTAGGATCATTCACTGCCCGATCGCAATCAAAAAGTCTTTGGCGCAGATGCTACGTGCCTCCGAATTTTCGAGTCTTTTAGGTAATATCTTGTATGCAAAATGAGGCCTTTTATTTCGATTTGAAATTGATAAAGTAGCTTTGCAAGTCTTTTGACGAAAAGAATTACTGCAATTCTTCGAGATAAAGTTCGTGACAGACACCGTGGAAGGAAAACAATACCTGTTAGCACTGCATTGACAGATAGCTGGTCGGCGGGACGAAAGCAACTCGTATCGGCTCTGTTTTTCAAGTGCTCCGTGTCACGTCCTTGTTTTAAATGATATCGGAAGGTTTTCGGGACTTTTATCGGTCTGCATAAAAGCGAATTCTCTGGGAAAGTTTCCTCTTAAGAACTCATGTGAAACGTAACCAATTGCCTATGAAATTTACTATGATAGTTGGTTTCCCCACTTCTCCTCTTTATCCTTTAGTCGTTCATGGCAATATCAAGCAATTTTCCCTCGTAGGAAATGGTGCAATGATCTTGCTTTATTTTTTGTATATCTATTGATTTTTTTTGCCATCAAAATTGTTACTTCGCCCCGACTACTCGCAATGCCGAATTTCCTCAATTCGAATGTTTTTGTTTACAAATTTGCACTGCGGTTGTTTTGACATCTTCTCTCCGTGCGAAATTAACTCAACCAAAATTTCCCGTCTGGCTTGTCGTTGATCTAGTTTTCTTTTAAATAATAAATTAGTCAGACTTTCGAAAGTGTGCAGTTTGATGGTTTGAAAGATTATATCGAAGGGTAGAAATATTTTCGCTGGATTAACGAAAAGCAATTTATATTCTGTTCCGGGGAGTAGCACGACCGCAACGGTAGTAAAGTACATTCGTAACCCACAGCATTTATCTTTCGATCGAGCTTCCTTAACGTGCGTTCGACACACTTCAATGGCTCTAGGTTTTTTTGTAATAAGCACTGGTTGTATTGTTGTTTACTAACTGTTTGAGATTTGGGAAAAATTTTAATCCCTCTCAGTTTCCAAATGGCCTTGATTGGCACAGTGAATCAACTCTGTTAAATTAAATCAATGCTTCGCGAACAGTTATGTGGTTGTCTCACCTCTGCGTAAAGAAAGCTGAGCGTTCGAACAATTCCCGAAACATCTTTGCCTAGCGTTGTTGTCTCTCGTACAGTTTATTTCACCTGAACGTGTGCCATCGAAATATTTTATTGACGAAAAATGCTATCTAGAAAAAGTTTTATCTTTTGCCAAGCAACTCTTGAAAGGAGCACTTGGAAAGGTCATGTACACAAATGTTATACAGGTATCGGTAATTTACTTTGTCTAAACAGTAAAGTTTTCTCTAAGGTCGTTAACAATCTAAACTGGAATTGTAAATATTTGCACTTTGAGTGTTTGTGAACTCTTGCTGGGTTGAATGTTCTTCTGTGACCGTTAGTAAGTTACATGGAGTTGATGACAATGCAAAATGTTACTTATCGCATCAAGGTCAGCTGGTCTTTATGAATAAATGTATCTAAAATATTTGCATTTGTATATTCAACTAATACACAATGTAAATTTTTGCTTCACTTATGATGACTGCTTTGGTGAAAAGAAGAAGCAGTTCATTTCAGATTAAATGCAATTAACAATGTTTTCTTTTGTGTGACTGATCCACAGATAAGAAGCTGGAAATGTGTAGTAGGGGGGAGGGGGGAGTCCCTTATAGAGGGGGGCGTAAGGGTTTGCGGTATTGCGGTATTGGGTTATTTTTGGTGCGGTGTTGCGGTAATTTTTGTTTCAAAGTACGGTATTGCGGTTTTCAGAGTCCAAGCGGTGTGCGGTAAGTTTAAATTTTATGTCGCGGTAGGCGGTGAAAAAATCGTTGTGTCGCTGTGAACTGCTTCTTTTTCATGACAAGAAGATACAAATCGGACAAATCCTCAAAGGTCTCCCTAGCTAGCCTGCGTGACCCGCGTGTCTTCCTTAGTTGCACAGTCGGGGATCGTATATTGCGCAAACAGACTGAGTCCAGACAAATCGTTTGGCTTGAAATTTCAGTTAATACTTGATATGATTAACGACACTGACTTTTTTTTATCCAATGATACGTTAACATGTCGCATTATTTATAACCTCATGGACCTTGTGGGAATAGTTAGCTTGGTTAACCTCCTTACCAATGTTACCGCCACTTTCGTGCCGGTCGTAAAACAATGGCGAGCGATCCAGAAGGTCAATTAAGTGATCAATCAGATATTCCAGCAAATAGTGAGGTCAGTGAGGTCGTTATAAATTGCGTAGTGTCGAAAGATAATCTATGAAGATCGTGTGGTCTAAAAATTATTACTCGTCCTTCTCGTTGTGCATGCAGGAATATAGAGTGTAGTAGTATTTGTGTGTGCTTAGTCTAGGTAGTTCGGGTCCTCGGGGGACGAGGGTACCTCCTTATAAGAGCTGAGGCTAATGGGGATGTGCCGCTGGATGGGGTCGCATTTTCACGACTGGATTGACTATAATGGGGTCGCATTTTCAGAGAGTTACTAGAATGTGGTCGCACATTTTCTGCTCTTTTGGGGTAAGACAGTTCTTCATATTTACGGTTAGCAAAGGTACCAGAATGTTTGTATTGTAGATGAAAAGTAAAGTGTTCTTCATCAGGAGCCCATCAATGATGGGCTCCTGTCTTCATTCAATCTAAAAAATTATCAATTCATTAAAATAGAAAGTGACTAAGTTGGGATCGCGAAAATCAAATATTTGTCCAAAAGTGACTAAGATGGGGTCTATAATTGGCCAGTGAATAGACTATAATGGGGTAGGGGCTCTGAGAGGCCAGCGGCACATACCAAGCAAAAATTAACCCAAGTACTCCTCCGGGCAGGGCAGTTTTACGTGGTTTTGTCGGCAGCACGACTGTGAGCGGCGAAGCAGCTCCCGACCCAATCTCCTCGCCTGCGCCCGCCTTTATTATTTAGCGCGCCCAACCAAAACCGCCATGCTACGCAGGCTAGTGTGTGCTGTGTGCCCTTCGAATCCCAAAGGCAGCCCGGGTCGACGTTTTGAAATCCTCAACAAAAAACCGAGTTAATTGTGAATCTGAAACAACCTCATAAGAGTCAACTGTTTACCGTCCGTTTATGATCTAGGTCAGTAATATATAAAGTAATACTAGAAAACTCCTGTTGTATCATTTATGTAAACGTATACATGTAATGAACAAAGTTAAACGAGTGCGATGATCTTATGTTTATCGTACGCTTGACATCGACGCACCTTAATTTGGAAAGACTGACATAAAAGTATTATTTCTACTTGAAAGGAGGATTTTTAGTATTGACAACGTCAACTTTTTCCCATTTGTAACTGCGGTTTCGGTATTTGGCTAAATTTTGATGCGGTATTGCGGTATTCTCGCGCTACCATGTGCGGTATTGCGGTATTCGTACCCCCCTTACGCCCCCCTCCTTATATAAGCTGTGTGGTTATAGTGTATGTGCCTTTTCAAAAAGTATGTTTTGTCAACCCCTGGTTTCAAACTGGGTGTATAGTTTATAGTTTGGCCATTTGGGTTTGAAATATATTGTGGGGGCAGGGTTTTGTGCTTGCTGGAACAAGGATGTAAAACTCTTTAAAGTTCTTGCCCCTTGAGAACAACAATAACAAAGAACACACCCCCTATTTACATTCACGTTTGAAAGAAATTTTATTTCTTGATAACTTATGGTAAGATGAAGTAACAGAAGATGGATTACAACCAAATGAACATTTTGAAGAAAGATTTTAAACAAACTACTTTGTGCGAGCTCCTAGTTAGTAAATGATATTTTTAACACAGTGATGACATGTATGCATGTATAAATAAAAAAAAAATCACAGTACAGTTTAGTGGAACCTGTAGGAAAAAGACAATGTTCATGTAGGCAGCCAATTCTCAAAATAATACGTTTATTCAACTAGTTATAGCTATCACTAAGTGCCAATGAGCAAAGATTTTACCTATACACGCGCACTGTTCAATTTGTTTAGAAATGTCGTTAATTACTGAATTTACGAGAATGCAGGCTGCTGGGTAGTCATGTGACTGTCATGCAACACACTCATGCATAATACTCGGAATCGTTTGTTGAGTGCCTCAACTAAGGATAATGGGGTTGAGTTGTTCAAAAACTGGTTATAACACCAATTGGGGGTTGACGAACAGCTTTAAATGTCGGGTGAAATTATTTGGAACATACACGTATAGCTGTCGCATTTGTCTGCTTGAATTTTTTGTTAATTTTAAGCCAGGGTTCGCAAATACGCCAAATTTGGCGTATTTTACGCCAAAATTGTTCAGATGACTCCACTGAGGTTACGGAGGGAGTCACTTTGACTCCAAAAATTTTCGGTAACAAACAGGGAGCCACTTCGACTCAAGAAATTTTCGGTAACAAACACAGTTTTATCCTTATCTTTTTCGCAACAAATACAATTTACGTTAATTGTAAACGTTGTAAACCTTAATTAAATCATCGAAATTAAAGAATTATACTCCACGACAAAACAGGAAGAGGGTAAATTACGATCAAAGTTTACTCGATGACCGCCATCATGGATTTGAGCTTTCCAGGTCAGCGGACCGCCACAGCTACTTCGTTTATCCCTCACGATAGATAGATACATGCCGGGAACACGTGCTGGAAAGTCTGATACTTGACTCCAAATATTCCAAAATGACTCCAAAATTTGTGAAGCAGAAGTCACACTGACTCCACTCATCAATAAAATTTGCTAACCTTGATTTTAAGCCTAAAAACAATAAAAAATTCCACTGGGCAAATGCGACAGCTTTACACGTATGTTACAAATGAATCCACCTGACGATTGGTTGAAGACAGGATGAGCATGGGACTCACAAACACGCACATGGCTCATGATTTCTCTGTTCTGTATCGCATGTTTGCTCAAAAACAATGCATTCTCTGTTCTGCATTACATCATAAAAGTTACCTTACACTACCTTATGTTACAATGTACATTGCTTAGAGATTCATTCTGCTTGGGAACTTTCACACACGTCTTAATTAGCAGGAGGAAATCATCTTTTAAACCATGCCAGAATGAACACGATTCAGTCAAGGGGGCCAGAGATTAAGGCAAAAGTCCTCCTAAAGTAGACCCAAATATTCTGATGAGAATCTAGTTCCACTACCCACCTGCACCTCCTTCTATCTGAACCAACATTTTGTAAATCCTAAAAGCTATCTTTAAAACTTTTCCCATCAAAATGAAGCCTAGTAGATGTCCAGCAGCAGAAAAAAAATGCGCAAGAAAAGCGAAAGGAGAGGGGAGGAGAGAAAACAAGAAGTAAAAGCCAAGACTTCTGTGTCACTTTTAAACCCATAAACCAGGCGTGCCGATCCAGAAAAATCTGAAGGGGGTGGCAGGGACACTTGCCAGCCATATACTACATTGTAGCATTAAATAGTAAATGAATAATTTATTTTATTGAGAATTCTTTAACAATAATACAAAAATTCCCAGTAAAAGGGGTGGCAGCAGTACTAATTCTGCCCATGTAAACTGTCTCAAAATATAAATAGCTTTTTGGACAGTTTTGGCTCTTTTATAGCCAGAAAGTGACAGAAAATGGCTTGTCTCGCTTTAAAAAGTGTCTTTCAGCAAACTTCCCAGGAGCAGATTGGTAAATATTTTATAATAACTTGGATCAGTGGCTAAAGGCTATCAAACAGATCCCCCCCCAACCCATCATGTGTTCTTGATCAGAACATTTTACTCTATAATCTGTACAGTGCCAACAGCAACAAAATCACATGGTGTAGTTACAACAGTAGTTGCAAAGTTGGTTCGTTAGATGTAATAGCAAGTGTAATCCATTGCCAATAGATGGGTGTCGGGAAGTTGCCTGGACAAACTGAGGGAGCTGCGAGCGAGTGTGGAGGGTAACCATGACAACCAACACTGTGAATGACAACCACTATGAAATCTGACTGTGACACTAAGAACCTTAGTGGGGCATTTTGTAGATACTTACTTAGACATAATTTTCCAGAAGGAGGAAAATATGGAGGGGAAAAGGCTTAATGAAAAACAAAAACGAAAACAACTATGCTTGAATATGAGTGAAATGAACTGAGGTCAATGAAAGTACCATAAAATTACTGAGGTCATGTAAATGCCCAAAGTCTGCCCAGCATTATGATTAGTGACAGAGACTCCTAGCCAGCCTTGTCTCATGTTTAACCTTGGCTAAATTAAGCCATACATAGGAATACGAATAGGAATACGTTTATATTGTAAATGTGCCTCTAACAGGATGTTTGATAAGGTTAGTTAAGGTAGGTGAAGGTTGATAAAAACTTAAGTTCAACAAGTCTTTATGGAGGGGGGGGGAGCTCAATTTACCTTCTCTCATCTCGGTTGATGTCAAATTAAACATATTTAACAGTGCTGCAAAAGCGTTTTTCAGGGTTATAAAAAACATATCAAAATGTTATTGTCATGGCTAATTTGTCCTATTTGGTTTTTCTAATTTTTGTTTTTGTTTTTTGTAAGAGAATCTATTATTATGTAGGTGTATATTTTACAGGTGAAAATTACATTCAGGTTAAATGTTTTGTTAAAGGTAGGTTGATTCTCTTCATGTATTTCCTTTGTCTCGTACAGTGTGTAGCCCTAATTATTCATGAATTATTGCTAGGAGACAAGGAAATTGAGAATAAACCTACAGCTGTAGCTTAAAACGTTTAACCTGAATATACTTTTGACCTGTAACATAAAATAATACATGTTTTTATTTTGTCAAAAAGAATCTATCTTAGAACACGTGGATGGATCTGTGTTATATCACTCACATGTACATAGGTGTGGTGTGATGTGCACTTATGATTCTTAAGGATCAAAGTCCAAGGCTTCAACAGAGAGATCATGGCCTTGGCTTTTTCTGATTTCAAATAAACACATTGCTGAGGTTGATTAATCCTTGCCACAAGTTTTAACTTCCTTTGTCTTGTCAACTTTTGTAAAGTTGTGGTTAGTTTTAGTAATGAGACAAGTGCAAAAATATTTGAACCCAAGATAAAAAAAATAAACCACAACATAACATTATAACATGTTGTGGGCTTATTAACCTTGGTGTAGATTAAGTTTTCTATTGTTCTAAACTCATTATCATAGGAATTGGAAAACAACAATAATTTAATCAAAGAATAAAATTGAACAACACCTGTTCATTTATTAAACAAGAAACCTGTTGCTATCATTACGAACAACTGAAGGTTGCAGACTTTACTAGAGACAACAGACTACATGCCTTGAACAATTATTATAATATTGTAATAGACTGCCAAGTGAAGACTTACACCATGTTGTATATAGTACCAAGTTTGAGGTACACCGAGATTAGGTGAAAGAAGGTCGAAGCTAAGTTTTGAAGCTCAGCTTGTAAAAGAAAATCTATGAAAAAAACACAAATAAAGAAACAAGACAGCAACAATAAAAATTAATAATAAAATTAATAATAAAAAGTATTTGGACTAATCTTCAGTAATACATATATGTTGCTCTGCACTTCAACAGGTGATGGAAACAGACAGAATGTTGTATTTAGTGACAGAATATGCCAGTAGAGGGGAGATTTTCGGTGAGTATTGGATGTAGATGTTTTTAGCTATGCTGTGGTTCTATATTAAAAATTCTTCTTTGGTTTACTGTGACACACAGAAAATTCCGAAATCATCCAGAAATATAACTGTTACATTATTGTGTTGCAAGGGGGAAAAAACAATATTAAGCATGAGAAAACTAAACCACAATTAACACTGATATAGTAGTTTGTGACTAGTTGTCACATCTAAGTGTATGTTTTGATCTTTGTTGTGGAACACAAGTACATGTAGGTTGTAACACAAGAAACATTATTTTGTGATCAAATACATACATCTATCTCTTTTTGTGCACATGGTAATCTTTTCAAAAAGTTTACGTGGTTTTGTGAGAGGTCATTTTCATTTCCCACCATTCAATTAAAAGAATCAAACTATACCAGTTTTTGTCTGGAATGAGGAGTTTATTGCAGCCTCTTAAGCATTGAAATTTCAAAACACTTGCCTTGAAATTTGAAGAACTCAACTTTATTTTGTTAGTAATTTTAAGTGCTTTATTAATGCTGGAATTCCTTTGACGTGTCATGAGTACATTCTTTAAATACCTTTTTCTCTTATACTCATTTTTTTTTTATTTACCTTAAAATTTGGTTGAAGCATATCTGTCTTACACCTAGCACCTGTAGGTAATTTCTTCAGAATTGCTATCTTTTTTTAGCCACTTTAAAACATAGTTAGTGTACATTGTAAGTTATTACTTTATCTTCCACACTTTTACTTCTATTGATAATGTAAATCACTCTCATAATTTTTGCACCATGCACTTTTTTCTTTCTTTGGGTATGTGTGTGTTGTTAATAAATTTTTGGAAAATAACTACCAGTAAATGAATAAAAATTATGTTTTGAGGAACAGTTAACTGTCATTTAATCTGGATGAAGTGTCTCATTAACTCTGCTCTTTGGTTTTAGATTATCTAGTTGCCAATGGTAAAATGCCTGAAAAGGAAGCGAGAAAGAAATTTGTACAAATTGCATCAGCTGTTGACAGCTGTCACAAGAAGAATGTTGTTCATAGGGACTTAAAAGTTAGTACCTCTGGAACTGTGTTAATGTCAGTAGTTTTGTTTTGACTGCATCGGTTGTCAACAGCTTTCAAACAGCTTTTAGTACAAGGATGGATGTTCTTCTTACATGTGGGGACTTCAAAGTACAGCTGTACATGTATATTCACAGTGCAGTGATTTTGTACCTCTGCATCGTACGTCCCTGACACATAAAAATCCCCAACGACGCAAATTAATTTATGGCATGTGTCCCGCAGGACACAAACAACAATCGATCAATTTATTTGAAGATTTTTTGGTAGAATACATCGTGTATCTTGTTCGTGTGACTTCTGTCGCTGTTGTTTAAAGATGCATATTTATCTTAGTCTTTTTGTGCTTTAAATTTATAGAAAGACTATATTTTAAGTTTTGAAGTCTGTCCCCAAAGGCCCAAGCATTTTCAATTTTGAAAACTCGCTGTTTTTTAAACTGGGACTGAATGGTTCTGGACTGGGACTCATGATTTTTCACAAGATGAGTTCCAGGACTCACTTCAACTATTTGTAACAAAATCACTGGTATGGGTACCCTTGTTGTCCACGGAGTTCAGTGTGATGCAGAAAGCTAGTCCTGTAGGCACTCAAGAATTCTCCACCTGTCAATCAGTTACTTAGAACATAAATATATTTTACTTAGTTAAAAAAAATTATCATGTAATAAAATATTTATCAGTATCTTTTTTTTATCACTCCCATCTTCTTTCTCTCTTTCATCCCTTTAACCCAATTTTCCCTGAAATCTCCACCAGTTCATTGATCAAAATTGAATTTTTATTTGGTTAGTCAACCGATTCGTTGGCTAAAATAAATTGCCATAGAAAAAAGTGGAGCACTGTGGTTGATAGTGTATTATTTTTTATTGTTTCCCTGTAGGCTGAGAATCTTTTATTAGATGAGAATTTCAATATAAAAATTGCAGGTAGGAAAAATGGCGAACTTTATTGCCTGAAAAAACGTAATAATTAATACTTATTATGATGATGACGATGATGATGAACTAACAATTCACTGTAATTATTTTTGGCATTTTCAAAATCCCTGTCCTTATTGTAATCATATTCATTGTCAACATCATCATTGTCATCATCACCACCAGCATCAACAAAGTCATCATCATTATTGTGGTCGTCATCACCATCGTCATAATCAGAAGCCATAACGTTGGCTCCTGTCACAATCTGTATCAACACCACCATCATCATCATCATCATCATCATCATCAGAAGCCATAACCTGGGCTCCTGTCACAATCTGTATCAACACCACCATCATCATCATCACCATCATCATCATCATAAGCCATAACCTGGGCTCCTGTCACAATCTGTATCAACACCACCATCATCATCATCACCATCATCATCATCATAAGCCATAACCTGGGCTCCTGTCACAATCTGTATCAACACCACCATCGTCATCATCACCATCATCATCATCAGAAGCCATAACCTGGGCTCCTGTCACAATCTGTATCAACACCACCATCATCATCATCATCACCATCATCATCATCAGAAGCCATAACCTGGGCTCCTGTCACAATCTGTATCAACACCACCATCATCATCATCATCACCATCTTCATTATCTTCATCATCATCATCATCATCATCATTGTGTTCATCCAATCAACACCATCATCATCGTCATCATCAGGAGCCATGATCTGGGCTTCTGTCACAATCTATATTACCACCACCATCATCAGCATCAGCAGTGCCATCACTGTTAAAGCCTGCCTATCATCATCATCATCATCATTAGCGACATCAGCATTACCGGGGTTCAAATACCTGCCAATCCTCAATAATTCAGGTTGAATTTTTTTGTTCTTTGCAGATTTTGGATTCAGTAACATATTCCAGGAGGGAAAGAGTCTTAAAACGTGGTGTGGGAGTCCGCCTTATGCAGCTCCAGAGCTGTTTGAAGGCAAGGCGTACTGTGGCCCTGAAGTCGACATTTGGGTAGGTCCCAATACTTAGTCTTGTGATTACATCATACAGGATATGTTGTGAATACCTTGCGTTTGAAAAACTTGTAAACAAATTCATACATAATGCACATGTTATATTTCTGGCTGAATAACTGAACACGACCTCTTTCTTCAAGCACTTATTTTCGGGCAAAAACTATTTCCAAAGTAGCCAATGTAAAAACTAAGAGCGCATCCTCTGTTTTTTTTTTTCTCTTCTCCTTCTTTCCTCCTCCTAACTCTTTGTATTTTGCTTTTCCTTTTCCTTTGCTGGTGTTATTTTTGAGCGTATCGAACACACAAAAAAAAACCGGATCATTTTTCGTTTCTGGGAACTGCCCACCTACCCCTCCCCCAAACCAACATTAACACTTAGATCTTACTTAGGGCAAAATGTTGGCTTAGGGGAGGGGTAGGTGGGCAGTTTCACAGAAACGTAAAATGATCCAAAAACCCCTACCTTTTTGCCCCTTCCCACTCAATTACAGCATAGGCTATTTTAGGTTCGTTTTTGAAAAAATCCGGTTAGACTTTTATGGTAGTCATCACATGTACGTGTAAAGCGGACCGAAATTTGCCAGCTTACATATATCTACATACAGTAAAGGAATTATTCGGGAACCTTTATCATCTTGGACTTGTGCCTTCCACAAAAGCAGCTGTCCAGTTTGCCTAATTGGTTGGAGCCGAGAAAGTTCGCGTGATGTGTTCAACTCACCCTTCCGTTTTTTTAATGAGTATTGTTCAAATATCTTTCTATCACTGCCTTCACGAAGCCTTTATTTGTCCCACCGACCCACGCGTGTAGTAATTACATGCGTGTCGCTCGCGCCTGAGCGCGTGATGTTTTCACTTAAAACCCCGAAAAATATCCATTTCCGCTAATATTTAAATATTTTACGGTTATCATTAATTTCCTTTCAACATAATAGTGTTGTTGCGGCACCTTGATGGTAACAGTCGCTTTGTTTGGAGTCTATTGTTTGTGGTTTTACCGTTTTCGCCTTCGCCTTTTTGCCTCCAGGATGTTTAGTACTAACTGAACCAAATCGTAAGCGTAGTACAATGCTTTTTTATTGCAAGTCAACACAGCACGCTGCATTGATGTCTTTATTAAAAGCCGTCAGCTTTGTCTAGGCACGACAATCACTTGTCGACATGTAATTGGTCCTTTCGCCGTCGATTGAGTACTCGACACGCTTGTTAACGTTTCTCGCGTGACTTATGCCTGACTGATTTCTCCTTCTTTACGATCTGCATGAGCAGTGATCCAAATTCTAAATTCCTTTTTGTGAAATACTGAAGTGAAGCAGAGTTTAGTGTTTGAATGATCACACGTTAGATTTCATTCAAAAATGAATAGCAAAGTACCGCTGAATAGCGAATGTTTGAATCGTCACACTTTAGGATTTCATCCAAGGGTTCAAAATGTTTGAATCAGCTTGCAAAGCATAATTAACAGTATCGCATGCCCGCGCGAGGAGTGGAGGGGTGGGGGGAGGGGAGTGGGGGTGGGTTACCCTCTCATTAGGCCCTTGATTCCGGGCAGACAATTTCACTATCTTGCATCTTAACGGGGTGTCTTTTTGTACCGGAAACCCTTTTAAAAAAGTGTGACGGTTGGCTGTAAAAGGTCTACATTGCTATTTTTTAACGATGTTTATGAAAACTATTAGGGGTTTATTTCTGACAGGGTTCGCGAACACGCCGAATTTGGTGTATTTTACGCCAAAATTTTAAGATGACTCCACTGAAGTTACGGAGGGAGTCACTTTGACTCCAGAAATTTTCGGTTGCGAAATAGTTTTTTCCTTACCTTTTTCAAAACAAGTACAATGTAATTTACGAACTGATTACGAACTCTTGTTTAAAAAATATTCCATCGCTTTTCTGGTTCTGTTACTTGACTCCAGATACTCCAAAATGACTCCAAAACTTGTTAAGCAGAAGTCACACTGACTTTACCCATCAATAAGATTTGCAAACCCTGTTTGTGGAATCATATGTTGTTTTGTTTTTTTTTTTTTCAGAGTCTAGGAGTGGTATTGTATGTGCTGGTGTGTGGAGCGCTACCATTTGATGGCAGCACTTTGCAAAGTTTACGCTCACGTGTCCTAGACGGGAGATTCAGAATCCCTTTTTTTATGTCCACAGGTATGACGTAATGGGCGACTTTTTTCGTTCAAAGGGGCAATGTCACGAACGATTCGTTACTCTCAATTCATATCCCTGAAAGTTGCTTGCTTCTTGTTTTAGCCTTTCAGTCCCAAGACTTTCCACATTCAAAATTTCCAAACGTCATGGTGTTAAATGCTGAAAAACAAATAGTACCTTGGAAATGTTCTGCCAATAAAGACTCCATACTTTGGGGCGTAAAAAGGGTTGGATCAGTTTCCGGGAAACTGCCCACCTACCCTTCCCCCACGCCAACGTTATATCTTACTTCTCACTTAGGGCGAAATGTTGCCTTAGGGGAGGGATAGGTGAGCAGTTTCCCTGGAACCTAAATTGATCTAAAGGGTTACGGTTAGCTAATCTTACTTTTACATTGAGTCTAAATTAGACCGCTGTACACACGTGGTGTATGGGCACCAGTAACTGAGTACCGTTCAAAACATCTTGTGTACCCGATGCTTAACTTTGTACTTAGTTACTCTATTTTGCCGTATCAAACGCCATTTTGAAACATGAGCTTAGCATCGAGTGCAAAACAGTGGCTGCCCCGAAACTAACAAAAACGATGTGCTCACTGGGACCAGGTGCCCACTTTTGTGCCCGAGTACAAATTCTCAACCTTGTACCTGGACACAGGCACCGTGTCCGAATTCTAGCGTTGTTACTTGAAAAAATAGGAGGTGTTCACATTAGTGCTCAGCGAGTAGCGTACTCGGGCACCAAGTGTAAACGCTGTCTTTTACTGATTCAAACTATTTCCCCCTGTAGACTGCGAGCACCTCATCCGGCACATGTTGGTACGCGACGTGTCCAAGAGATATACTATGAACCATATTATGAATCACAAGTGGGTAAAACAAATGGACGAGGAGGACAAAGCTAATGTGCTGATTACTGAATCACCAGAGTCCGACTTCAGCGAAGAGGTTCTGAATATGATGCTTGCTAGAGGAATCGACAGAGAAAAGACCATTCAGGTTGGCCAATTTCTTTTCTTTCAAATTACCTGTTACAGTTTGGGGATACCCCACTCGCTAAAAGCGCGATTGGAGTTGAATAATGACGTCGACATATGACTCAATTGCCACTAGAAAACTACCAACTGAGGGATTTTTTTCCCAAGTCTCAGTAGGAATACGCACCCTTGTGTAATTGGATTAAAACGGCACCGCTGTCAGCACATTAGAATTAATGTGGAATAAATCTTTTATTCCATATACCTCAATGTAAAGGCCATCTTATTAATCAGCACAAGAAAACAGCACCACGAGAACGAGTTGCTTAATATCGTTCTTCTCAGTGGTCACCTTTGGATTTCACAAGTACCACCTTCTACATGCATACCTACATCACCTCAATTTAAACCTGGAATCTACAGGAAGAATTTCAGTCACTAAATCTAAGGTAGTACCATCGCGTATAGCGTGCTCTAGCTTTTCTCTAAATGGCCACAAGGTCGACCGACGACGTAACCCAAGTCCCAAGATGGACTAACAAAATGTTTATCGTAACAATATCAATGGATAATCAAAAGAAAAGGTTAAGAGACTAGGTTAAAATGATCACCTGAGGAAAAATGCCTTGATCTCTTATTAAATTCTCTAAAGTCTTTCGTTAAGGATATGTATGGAGATCAGTCTGGTTACTGGGTCTTAAAAGGTTGATATATCCCTTTTTATCCTCACAGTCTCTCCGCCAGAAGGATTATGACCAATTTGCCGGCATTTATTACACGCTCTTGGAAAAGGTCAAGAAATCCGCCAACTCGTCGCACGATCCTTGCGCCAACCTTCCTCCCGCGGCGAGTAGTTCAACAGACACTGAACTGATGGAGACGGACAACGAGGAGTCTGTGGAAACGGAGAGACCTTCCATGAACGTACCCACAGTACAGGTGACACCTGACTCCCCCACAAGACGCGTGAAACCTAAGCAGAATCATTGGAATACTTCTCAAGAAGAAGACGAAGAAGATGACAAGATGCCAGATGATATTCTACCAAGCTTGAAGCTGTACTTGGAGAAGCGCCGTCACACTCTCACTGCTGTGGATCCCATGATGGAGATCCCGCAGGAACTCCGCGAGGCGCTAACGCAGAAGTTCATCCAGAGACCCCTGAGCCCAGTAGGGCAAACTACTGAAGACGCCTTTGCTGGTGCCCTCGGACTGAACCCAGTGTTACCTCCGTATTCTCCCACGTTGGAAGTCTCTCTCGACTACAAGGAGCAAATTTTACAGGTGCCCTCCGTGCTTCAGCATAGACATCCCTTTGGTAGGAGGGCCTCCGATGGTCCCACCAGTCTAGCTACTGGGATAGCTCAGTTTAACGCGCTTCGTGCCATGGCCGGTTATGGAGATATTAGTCAAGGGAACACGGGGTCGCTCAGTGGATCTCCCTTGAACAGCCGCAATCCAATTGTCACCCAGTCTCCATTTTCAGTTTCACCGGGTCCTTCGAGCCCTCAAATTAGCGAAGGAGCTAACGATAGTGGCTCAGATCAGGAACCGGATCAAGATGCTATTGCACGTTACATGGCATGCCGCGGGGCACGGCAGCGCCACACGTCGCCAAATGAGATGCCGGATGAGCTACAGCTACGGCTGTTACAAGTGCCGTTAAAACCAGCGAGACGCACCGTTTTTCCCCCAGGACGAGAGCGCTCGGGGGGCTCTTTTATCCCCACCCCTTCGGGAATTCGGTACAACGCGTCCAGGCGAGCCTCTGATGGAGCCGCGTCGGTGCTTGCGTATAAGCAGTATTTAGAGCGTGTCAGTGGAGGTGGGTCTAAAAGAAATAGCCTACGAGAACTACAGGAGGAGTGTTTGAAACTGCAACAGCAGTATGGCCGAGTAGCAGAGGAAGAGCAGCAGCGACGGCAGCAAGAACAGCACGAGCTACACATACAGCAGTCCTACAATCGCAGGGCTTCAGAAGGAGCTGAATCGCTAGCTGCTACGCTGGCCCAGTTCCAGCAGCAGTACGCGCCAACCTACAACACCAGCCAGGAGTTTGATGTTGAAGGACAACCCAGGAGCTCGGTTGAAGATTTAGTGGAAATAACACCTCCAGGGTCCTGCGCGATGGAACATCAGGACTTGCTTCATCAAGAAATGCAAAGGTTAAACATCGAGCACTGCCCTCCAGCTCCCAACATTCGACACGCCCCGTCGAATTCGCCAAGAAGTAGCCTTCTGGTCGAAGATTCGACACCGTCGTCGTCTGTTTCAGAGACGTCGAGCTTTCTTCCTCCTCAACCAAACACCTCTTCATTTCTCTCTGACGGTGGAACGATGGTCTCCCCAGTTCCCTCTCCACCTCCCTCCCCTCTTATTTCTGCGGTACCTTTGAGTCAGCGGTACCCTATTCCAAACATCGTCAACGCTAGGAATTCCTTTAACGGAAGTGCGGAAAATCTCCAGGAGACACGGACAATTCCGCAAATTCCTGCGGGTCTCCCGAGTGTTATGATGGGAAATACTCTGGTTAATGAGAATGATCTCGAGGAATTGGCGAGAGCTACGTGGGGTATGGGCCACGCACCGCAACCTTTAGCTCCACCAACGCTGCTCTCGACGTTCGCGTCAAATCCCGCGGGATCATTACTAACGGGAAATGTGGGACAACGATCGCCTGTGCATCACCGCCGCCATCACACGGTTCCATCCGCGCAAGATGCGTGGAATTCCATGGACTTGCTCAGAAGGGCGACGGCGAATAACGTTTTATCGCAAAACCACACAAGGGATATGTTAAATAACAATATCAATTTAGAGGAAGGTATTAGGGACGGTTTACTTTATAGAACTCTCTCCCCCAATGGAACCATATACCAGGACTCACTACTCAAGTCTCCGGCCAAAGGAGACGCATTGCCTGACTTAACGCAAACTAATAACCTCAGAATGGCATTTTCTGTTAATATGACTTCTGAGAAGTGTATTCCAGATATTATAAGCGAGATTCGAAGATCGCTCGATCTTCGCTCGTCTAAGATCACCTATGAGCAAGCGGATCAGACTTTTACCCTTCGTCAGGGGGGTGTATGCGCCGAAATCGAAGTCTGCCCCCTTGCAGGAAATCTTAATGGGCTGCGCCTCCGACGTGTCACTGGCAACCAATGGCAGTATAAGAAACTCTGTAACGAAGTGCTAGCAGAGATGAATCTGTGACCAAAATCGGAGTAAATTGAAAAATGTAATGATACCTTAATTTGTAGACTGCGTGACATTTGTGCTGGCGTGATTTGTTGCATCACTTTCTTCCGTGTCGTCAAGGATATTTGCTTTATATGTCTCTATTGCCACACCTAAAATATATCGGAATTCGTCATGGAGGGAGATCTATACTAGAAAATTTCTATTGTTCGTAATCTTTTCTATTGCTGCTTTCAAGGCAGGTACTTATGTATTTTCAAGAAGGGAAGCTTGCATTACTTTGTTCTATGTAGAGAGCTTTTGTATGTTTTTCTTTCAGTCGTAATTGCCTGACTATTCAAATGGCAATCGTGATACGGTACGCTTTTTACCCCTTCTCCCCCCCCTCTAGGAACTAATATATGTTATTGGCGGGGAGGTGGGAATTCTATTAGGAACACGGTTGGTGGGGGGATAAGTGGCAAGGGACTGTGGGGAGCTTGAAGGGTTAAATAGTTGTTAATATGGTTTTTTCTGTTGGATTGTTGACGTTGTACCCCTGGGTTCTCATTTTTTATGTCACATTCTCGTACGCGTTATGTGAGCAGTGGTATAACGGGAGACATTCACATCTCCTCGCCAGTAATGTACTTGAACACAACCCGAGGGACACAGATGATGGCTCCTTATGAGATAATAGACCAACTGGGTCAGGTCCAAAACTCTTAATGAAAGCAGGAAGATAACTATAACTTTCCTATCGAAATTTCCTATGTTATTACGTTTGTGACAATATGCTGTAGCCTTTAAGGCAGATGTTTATGGGCTCTGGTGTTAGAAAAGCCAGAATCACATGTGACATATTAATTGCTTAGATTAGGAATTAAACAGCTAAATGCATCAACAACAACAACAACAATCTTTATTGTGCTCTTGATACAAAGGTGTAGAGTCATTAAAAGGAAATAATTCTGAAAGAAAGAGAGCACAGCCACTTAGAAATAGCAAAAGCTAATCGCGTTGAGTGGCTGACCTTCAAAACGCGTGGAAATCTCTATGCGCTTATTCGACCGTTTTTTTTTGTTATTGAAATCATACAACAGATAGCACACATTGTGTGGCAACAGAATGTGTGCTGTGGCACGTGAGGGGGAAATCTTGTGGTGATGTCATCATTAATGAACTCACCCGGATTGCGAATACATCAACTTCTCCTATGTTTTCACACAATTTATGAATTAACGCATACTAATGTCATATGCAGAGATGCCAACCTCTGGAGATCTAAAATCTGGAGACTGTCTCTTTTGCATTACCGTCCCCCTCCCCTAATATAGAAGACCAAACCACCCCCCTCCCCATTTCCGATAAGCACTGATCGATATTAAGTCTTACATGACGAACAGTTCATGAAGTTCGCTTTTAATGATTAATTGATTGTTTGTTTGTTTGGTTTTTGAATTCGCTTTTATGAGTATGATACGGTGTTTACTTTTTTGAGCGGAAGGGATGGAGGAGGGGAATTATTTAGCGTGCGCTTTGGGCTATAGTCAATTACTCCGCTATAACGGACACCCCGATAACACGGACAGCAGAAAAATTCCGCAAAAATAAACTACAGACGTTTGACTGAAAGAAATTCCCGTTATTACGGACTCTCGCTACAGTGTCCGGCATAAACGGAGTTGACTGTACAGGCATAATTGCCCATGAACGAAAAATTGTCTAAATTTCAAAAAAACAACAACAAAAAAAAAACGGAAAAATTTCAGAAGTCCATTTTCAGGCGGGAGATTAGGTGACCGTAAAGGAGACTCGGAAAATTTGTGCTGTATCCGGAAGAGGTGGGACAGCCATTTTGAAATAAGACTGATTTTGAAGAGGTAGTTTTATGTTGAGTAAAATAGCGCATGAATATTAACTGTTAAGAAACATTCAAGCGTTATCTGCTACTCTTGTCTTACCTTTCGGAAAGGTAAAGTTGTATCCTTATTGCATAATGATCGAAAACCAATGCGGAAATGCAAAAAAGATAGCGAAATTCTATCCACTGGTAAGAGATTTAACTCTGTATTCTCTTGCATTGGCCGGCCGGCAGAAGCTTTAAAGTTTCTTTTTGGAACAACTAGTAGTTCGTTCTTACGTTTGCTACGCCTATATCAGCAAATTGCGAAAAAACTATTCAGTCTTAAACAGCCGCTAAAGGCAGAAAAAAAGAAACTTGATGTTAAGATCAAACTGCCGAAATATACAATCATTTGTTTATTTAGTTCACAGGTGTTAATTTAGTACATACATGGTCCCTTTGTCACACCCTTTGTCTTAAGTAGACTCACCCTATAGCAAAAAATACTACGCTTATCCTAACTTCAGTGTGTTCCTTATTCCTTCGCAACACTCAGACGTTAATTAAACACGGTTGTGCAACGGTAGTCAAGAGTACTCAACTATCAGACAATTTTTAACCGATCCGATAAAGCAAAACGTCGGAAACGTCTTAGCCTCTAATTGGACACAATCTACTCGTTATCCTGAACAAACAACCCAAACAAAACATAGCCAAGCTGATAATATAACCGCCGTGAAAACAAACCCCCAAAAGGTATACTTTTAAAAGGCTTCCGACAAACTAAATTTCCGAATGTAAATGACAGATAACAACTTAAAAGCAGAGTGATTACATGCTTTTGTCTTCATTTGTCATTGTGGACCGCGCGCTTCAGGATTCTGAAAGCAACGCAGGTATGTGAGATGAAATTAAATTTTGTACCTTAAAGAACTTCTTGGTGGTTATATCTTCGACATCTAATAGAAACAATCTACTTCATAGAAGGATATTGAGTATTTGTACAAATATATGTTCACGCTTAACTGAATCGTATGAATTGCACATTAGTTTTGACACGACTCATGAAATTGTCCCAAGGATTAGTGGGATTGCAACAAAAACTGATCTCTGAAAAAATTGCGCAGTGTATCTACTTTAATTTCACGCTTATGCGTTCCACTGAGTTTATTCTTAAATGTTCTTGTTAGCGAGAATTTATAGAACTCGAGTTTCCATTTGTACTTCTGCATTTCCAGGAAGAATTTTTCCTCATTTGAACACCCTTTCTGGGTCTTTTTGTATTTAAAAATTTGTCACACTATAATTCAGATATCCATCGAAGCTCTAAAAACGCCACATTAAAATCAAAGAAACCACTCCCGCAAGAAAAAAAAAGTATAGCTTTGTTTCAAACCGCTCCATTATAAGTGCGTATGTTTGGCTTCCGATTCTACAACTAGGACAAATCGAAATTGGTCGAAATTGGCATGCAGCTTTAAACAATTAGGCCATCTTTTCCTAGTGTTAAAACTCTTGTATTGTCGAAACATTATCAAAATCAGATCATCGCTTTATCTTTTTCTTTTTAAGTCCTTTATAGTATAAGAAACTTTATTCAATTTTTGCTCTGTTTTGAGCCAAAATCGAAAATTTGGAACTCGCCATGACACAAACCCTCGTTCATAGAAGTTAATGTGCTATTATCTTATAAACTCTTAATGAAATTTCCTTCAAGTTGGTCGATCTGTGACTCCTGGTACTTCCTTTTTTTTCTATTAAGAGGAAGTAACTTTTGAATTTTGATAAATTTCTTGACGCAGTTCCTTCACTAGTCGCACTTCCAGCGTCTGGAGATCTCAGTTAAAGTCACCTGGACAGTAGTGAAATGGTCCTTATAAGTACCATGGAAAGATTTCTTTTTCTCACTGCATTCGCCATTCTACCCACAATCTGTGCATCTGCGACCGTCTACTACGTCGATGGTAGCAATGGCAATGACTTGAACCGTGGAGACAGCATTCAAAATGCATTTGCATCCATCAAAGCCTGCGTTGACGCCCTCAATGGGCCTGGTGACGAGTGTCACATTCGCGCCGGTCGATATCATCAACCTGTGTTTCAGATATCTGGCAAGCAAGGTTCCCAGTCCCAACCGATTGTCATCCGGGGTTATCAAGACGAAGCTCCTGTTATTGACGGTACAATCCCGTTGGCTCCTAAAGCTGGCTGGAAACTTGATCCAAAGACTGGAATTTTCAGGTGCAGTTCTTTTGAAATGTTTAATTGCTAAATCAGACGAGTAAATTTTTAACTTTCTTTGCTATGGTAGTCAAAGAAAATTTTCAAAATGCAGTGTGCGTGTTTGAATACTCCCAAGGCGTAATATTTACACCCTGAAAGATATTTTAATGATAAGGAAAGTAAAATAAGTTACGGTTTGAAACACAGCCCTAATGAACATAAAACGCCACTGGAACCGGAGACTGTAGGCTCCGAATTATTTATTAACTTAATATTTATCAAGAGAGGATAAAACTCTTTGAATTTGTTTATTTAATCGACCCATTTGTCAATGAGCCCTCCAGTCCTGGAATTAAAAGACAAGAATCATTAAATCAAAATAATGGTGATGATGATAATGATGATGATGATAAAATAAAATAATGATTCTTTTTAGCGACGCTGATGATGATGATAACGCCTTTAACAACATTCTTGTGACCGCGGTTTTCTATGAAGTTAGGTGTTATACAACTCAAGCCCTAGTAACAATCATCGTGTCCTACCATCAATGACATCGCTTCTGTTTTAAAACGAAAATTAAACCGCCAGTGTTAAACAGTTCGCACAATTTGTTCCTTAAGTTTGTCCTCAACAGCATTAATGATTTTACTGCTCCAAACACGTTCTGTCTTTCTTGTGTTTGAAAGAACTCAGAGTAAGGAAACCTATACACTTGCAATTTATTGCACATATTTTATTCTATTCTTACAACATCAATCTTAAAATGTTGTCTTGCAGTGCTAAGATAGATCAGGACGTTTGGCAACTTTTCGTCGATGATGAAATGATGACTAACGCCCGATGGCCAAACGCACTGTGGTCAGACAAGACGGTTTTTCTGAACAAATACTGGGCTAAGTCTCACAAAAGTTCCAAGCGCGGAAAAATGGTCGACAGTGGTCAAAAAGATTTAGCTGGAAGTGGTATCAACGCTGAGGGGGCTATGGCAATTCTTAACATCGGAAGTTTCAACACTTTCACTACTGCTGTTAAGCGCCATTCCCCAGGGCAGAATTTCTTCACTTATGATGACAAATTCGGTGATATCAAGTTCAAGCCAGACCATAATCAATATTTTCTTGAAGACAAACTGGACTTCCTTGATAATGCTGGCGAGTGGTTTTACGATAAAGGCTCCAAGAAAGTGTACGTGAAGACATTGGATGGAATGTCTCCTGAAGGCAGAATAAGAGGAAAGGTGACGAAAAGCGCTTTAGTTTAACGTATATAGGGAGGGGAAGGGCCCGAGCAGAAAGGGGCGAGCCATGGGACTAAGGCCCCCGTCCACGGTAATAATTTTTCGTTTGAAAACGCATACATTTCGATGCGTTCAGACCTTTCGTCCACTCTAATACGCTGAGCGTTTTCATTGGAAAACACATCGATTTGACAACGCTTTTGAAAGTGGGTCAAAAAGAAAACGCATAGATATCGCATCAGTGAGAAAGGTCGAAAACACATCAAAATTGTAGTGTGGACGCGAATCGATCGACGCGTTTTCGATGACAACGAAAACGCATTGGTGTGGACAGGACCTTAGTGAACAACCTACCGGAAGAGCAAGGGCAGAGACGAGGGACTGATGTTTACAGCTTAAATAAAACAAGTGTTTAAGATGAAGGCGCCATTCAGCTTTGGCAGAAACTCATAAGAGGTTGAAACGTGTAATTCGCGTTCAATGTTCGTGAATATTCACTTTTACCATATTTGGAAACCTTAGTGTCAGATATCCATTTTCAACAAAATGGCTGCCGCGCGCGGCGGAAACCTGAAGTGAAATTACGTCACGTTTTTTACGAAGTTTGATTGGTCAGTCATCTCTTCTCTTTCCAAATATGGTACTTTTGAAAATGAATAATCACGAGCATCGGACAAAGCAAACATATGAGAGTTGCACGTTTCAACCCCTCATGAGTTTCTGGCTTTGGCGAGCCCTGTTTGTCTTATCAACTTAAGTAGGAAGAAAACAAATTTTCATTATTTTTTACTCACCCTGAAGCAGCACGCAGTTTCTCAAAAACTAACCCCATTTTTATTATATTATTTTCTAGGTCCAAACATATGCATTCATCATCACAAAATGCAAGCACGTTCACTTTAAACAAATGACTTTTTTCGGTACCACTCTGAAGGCGCGGCCAACAAGGAAATGGGACGTTATTGAAGGGCTCCATTTCGACACCATTAATTTCAAGTTCCCCTCGTATTCTATGCGCATGCTTGGTTTAACCAATCCTCCGCTCTGTACAGTCATTGAGGCAAGTCGCGGGAAAAGCTTTCAGCTAATCAACAGCACCTTCTTCGGAAGCGATGGAATGGCTCTTAGATATAGTGGTAAAGGCGTTCTACTGCAGAATAATTTATTTGAGTACAATGACTGGTCCGTAGCTATTATGACACACAAGAGTGGAGGGTTCGGAACTGTGATCTCCAATGGGTATGAAGACAAGTTTATTCGTAATACACTACGTTTCAATGGCGCCGGCAGTGGTTTTCGTCCATCGGGAAGGGATCCCATTGTTAAGTTGAACCATGTTCATCACCAGTGCTGGGGGATGCTGCAACACGATGGCGCAGGAGTGCAGTTCCAAATCGATGCGCAAACCAATGCTGTTTCACAACAGAATTGGGTTCACTCTAGTCCAAAGTATGGGCTCCGCTTCGACGGGCAGCCTCCGAGGGTTGGACGATACGGTACCATGAAGGAAAATGTTGTGTGGAAATGTGGAGGAATCATGGTGAAAGGGGATTATCATAAGGTCCTCAACAACCTCGCTTTCGAGAAGAGAAATGAAAAAAGCGGCGACAGGCAAGGGGACGGCTGCGCCTTGTGCGTCCTGAAATTTGTGCGCTCCAATCCGACAGAAATTAATCGAAACTCGGAGGTCGTCAAAAATGCTGCTGACGTAGCGAATGGCGGGAAACGAAAGAGGCCACGTGGTATTTATCGCCTAGCTGGAAAAACCGTGAAGTTCAATAGCATTGGTGAGGTACGACCGGAAGTCATGGACGCAGATAACTTGGACTTCCGACCCCGTAATGGATCAGCATATGTTGAGCATCAGGCCGGTCCATATTTGTACAATCCCCAAGGCAAATATTACTGGATTCCTGGACGACAGTTGTACAAGGCTAGCACCCCTGTCCCTCCTGATGGTAGTAAAACTGTTAAGGTAAGGGACTCGTTCATCATTTAAGCTAAGGAAGAATCAACTTAAAAGTTGATTCTTCTATTTTCGCTTTTTTATTCTTATATTTTCAGTTCGAAGAGAATTCGAAGACTGTAATCTCGTAGAATAGAGACTGCTTAGAGAACATCTCACTTGCTCACATTACCTCGCAAGATACGCCACTCGCTATAAAGATGGGATGTACAAATTGAATAAATGTGTGACGTAGAGAAGTGCAAATAATTTGTGTAAAATAATTTGTATAAATCTCTGAATTGCTCTGCTCCTTCTTTATTAGACCGATAGGGATGCTGTCATGTGGCTGAACGCCTATGGCGTATCCACTCACCATGTGTACTTTGGTACGAACAAGGCGAATGTTGCCGAAGCGACATCAAAGTCATCCGAGCATCAAGCGAAGATCACCGACGATGGCAATGTGTATTACTTGACGAAAAATCTCCAGTCGGGTATTACCTACTACTGGCGAGTGGATGCTGAAATGGAAGAACAGATTATTTACAGAGGCGACGTGTGGTCTTTTCAGACAGCGTGACCACGTTTTATCCTTATAAAAAGTTTGGATAGCACCACTGTCAGTGTCACGCTATGTTGAATGTATTTTTCCCTCTCATATAGAGATAGAAAATGATTTGGATATGTCAGACTTATGTCTAAGCTCTAAAGTCAATTGTAAACCGTATTAAGTGAAACTTGGAATAAACTAGATGTCTTGATCTTTCGTGACCTTACTGGTCAAGATCCCCAGATACTTTTCGTAATTGATTGAGGTACAAGGACGAGCTCACTGGAGCTAAAAATGCATCTCCATAATCGTACTCGACGGTCCACCCTCAAAGACCATTTTATGTGACCGGGATGGTCCTTGATCCCTGATCGAATTGGAATTTCGAAATGTTGATTTTTTTTTGTGGAAGGTGCAAGATAAAACTGAAAAAACCCGACTATTAGAAATACTCCCAAAAGCAGGGGCTGAGGAATCAACAAACCGATTTTCGAGAGAGCGAAAATTGAACCCGAACAATCACGTCAAAAGGATACAACTGAGAGGTAACACCTCGTCCCGTTTCTCTGCGAAATTTTCTACATTTCTGATAGCAATTTCCTCTAAAACTTTTTTGCTAAAATTTCAAAAAGAATTTGCCAGCAAATTTTTGCTAGCAAAATCCATCCGGACCAGGGCAGAAGTGCCCGTTGCTGGTTCGCCCGGGCCACCTATGCGTTAGGTACTGGCCAGGCTCTGGTTAAGTGTACGTGTATGTGTTAATTGCTGTTGTTTATTAATGTTATAGTCAGAAATCACTTGTCAGTCAGTTCACACTCTTCTCACTGAGCGCCAACTCTTCTCGTCTGCCTACATCTCCGTAATTGACAAAGTTCTTGCCTTAGCTGAGGGTTAAATATTCCATACATCACGGGATTCACGGAGCTGCTATAACCAACTAGGTAGGTGTACGTCATGTACACCTCTATTTGCCCGTGAACATGCTAACTCTATCGATTACGATGAGGGGTGACCAGCAACATGTAAATGCCAGGACTATGGCAAATAAGAGTTTCGTGATTTTCGTCTCATCCACTTGCATGTTAACTCGTTTATTTTGTTCCCTTCTTGAATTTGCTATTTGGAGTATGCTGGATTTGGATACATATGACAGTATACTATTGGTCCATAACACGCGATAATTAAAAATGTTCCCATTGAAAGACATCCGGCCGCGCTTAACTTGTCGCAGTCGTAAATGCAAATGAATTTTCCAGGGTGGAAGAAAAATCCATCGTTGAACATTAACGATATCGGGAAAGGCGTTGTTATCCTGGGGAGGGGGGTACTTTAGGAATTTCTGGGTGGGGATGTGCCGCTGGGACCCTGAAAACCTTAACCTATACTAGAGCTAGTTCAACTGAATTTTGCTACCCTATACTAGATCAAACTCCCCAAATCCCCCCTATCCCAGAGCAGCTGTTTTCCAGAAACCAATGAGGTCACTAGCACAGTCTAGCCAAAACAAAACCTTATACCACAATCCCTAGTCTAGATAAAATCTTCAACCAACTGATCAGTTTCCTGAAAAATTATACCCTATTCTAAACCCAAACGCTCTGATTTATATACCCTATCCTAGAGTAAACTGCTGGAAAACCATACCCTTCACAGCACATACCCAGCCCATATATGGCAGTACCCCTCCCCCCCCAGAAAAGTCAGTCAGAAAGAGACATGTGTTCCTCTTGGAGTATATTTTGAAAATTGCACGCGGCTTTGTTAAAGGGCCAACGTCATGTTAGTAAAACAGTGAATGTGAAAGGAAAGCCCGACGCGGCAATGAGAACATCTGATAAAGCTAAACACGCGATCAAAATGTTTTGACGTGCTTCGAAGGCGAGGGTGCTTGAATATTGTCCAACAATCGAGCAAATTTCCACCAATGGCCGACAAAAGATTAATAAATGTTACTGTTGATTCAAGCGCAACTGAAAGGCCGCTTCTGCCTGCCAGGCTCTTCTCCAAGTCTACCCTTCCTTGTCCATCCATTTAGACCGTGAATAGCGTTTAATACTCAGTGTTTTAAGGGGAGCGCGATTCAATTTATTCTTAGTGCAATTACACCTGCGGCTACCCATCCCGGCTAAACATACAAAATTTGATCTAATAGACGAATGACTTACTATTGTATTAAATTTCAGTATGGAAAGAGTTGGTTTTAAATAACCTCACTAAAAAAAAAATCAATTTAAACGTTCTTTTTATTTGAATATTTGGTGACATAATCTTACTTATCATACGTAAAGCTTAATAGATAAGAGTGAAAAAAAAAAATCCCACTCTAATTTTATGTCCTATAAACTTTGGCAAAATCTATTAAATTGTTCTTTTTAAATAGACATATATGAGTTGCTCATGCAGTTGTTCAGTTAAATCGGTTCCCATTTTACGACCTTATCTAAATATGTGGGCCGGAATCAATCTGAGTTCTGCGTTGTCTTTTGATAGAAACTGGCACATAACTTCATGGGTGCTAAAGGACCAGTCCACCGCTATTCTTAAATTTCAAAAACAACTTATCAGTTTAGGGAAGAACGTCATAAATTGATTTACACCTCTCGAAAAGAAAAACCATTGTTTTTTACTCGAGCTCCTGATCCTACTGTCATCATCAGGTCACTTTAAAAAAACCTTATCGCCGCAAACTCCTGGAACTAAGTAGTATCAGGAAACAGCCTTTGATTTGACTCAACAATGTACAACAATGGGAAAAATACACAAAAAGTAATTACGACTAAAAAAAGGAGTGGGCAGTCCGATCCTCATGAGAAGTTCGGAAGGTAGAGAAGGCGGAGCATATTTGCGGTGTGGAAGTTTGGACAATTTTTCGACGGTATGCAGTAAAAGTCTAATTATAAGTCCCCTCCCTCCCCACCCCATTTATAGGCCCAAGTACCTGTAAACAAAAAATACATCCGGTTAAAGCCCTTCCCCCCCTCCCCCTCCACCCGAATATAAGGCTCCTAAGACTTATTTAATATGACGTTGTATAAGCCAGGGCTTATAATCGGGGTTTACGGTATTGGTAAAGCCTCTGATCCTCCTTTTACCCTTTAAAAATATTTCGTCCGTCCCAGTCCCTCTAAGGGTAGTGACGAGTGACGTCGTTTCTATGTTAACCTTCCAGCTATGGGAAAGCAGAGGTTTGATTGTAGCATTTTTTTTAAATCGTGAAAATAACAAAAATGAAAAGTTTAAAAACCCTTTTAGTTACTGTGTTTTTTGTCTCATTGAATCAGATTTCTTTGCTTCGAACGCAAAATGAACAAGTGATTAGACCAATACGCTGACAAAAATTTAATTTAAAGCAGCTATAAAGAAACATACAATCTTTCATTCTCCCTAGTCAGAACACTGTAAACTCTCTCTTCCGATATCAAGCAATGAATATTGCTCTAAGATGTTGGAGGAAGACGGATCCTGTTGATGCCACGAGGAACGTTAACCTGCAAGTAATCATTTAGTCATAATTAGTTTGAGAGAGAGACTAAATTCCTTTATCTCAGTCTCATGTCACGAGCTTGGTATAAAATGATACATCTGTGTCGCCGCCAGTATTCGTAGCCATGGCCTATCCCATCTGATATCTGTCGGGCACTTTAAAAACGTAACTAGGCTATGGTGAACGCTTCATGCTAAGCTACGTCTTTTTTACCAGGCTTATTTGAGAAACGCGTCACATCCCCATGAAACATTCTTCCTTGAGTTGTATATCATTTTTTGTATCACGCATCAAGCATCACGTCCAGGGGGGCTACTCTCCTGTGCCACATAGGTATGTGCCACCCCAAAGGATATAGTTTTTGCGCCGTTTCGTTCTGAAAGCAGGTATAGACTTTGCCCATTTTGGTCTGGAATTCGAGGAAACTAGGGGAGTGTTTCGCCGTGTTTTAATTCCAAATGAATAAGAAAACAAAAGAAATATGAGAATTCAAAGTGAATTTTAAGAAACTGGCTTTTTTGTTGCCATTCCTTCTAAGTAGTGATGACATAATATCTCAGCGGCCAGGTATGAAAACGTTTGTGAAATTTTACATTTTTTGGTCTGAAATAGGGTCAGGATTTGGAGAACCGAGTGGCACACCACCACCAAGAATTTCCAGGTGTATTCCTCCCCCGGGCATCACGTTTACGGCAAACTTTAAATAGTACAAATGACCATACGGCAATAATCATACTCATAATCTTAAAGACACTTCTCTTTACGCGGAGAATGAAAAACGGCAAACCTTACAAATGCTGGCTTCATGAAGAATATCACTTGGTCATCCCTGCCGTTCTCCAAAAAAAATACGAGAACAAGATTAAAATTGCGTCTCAGCCATAAATGTTTTAGTTTCTCTCACCCTTTCGACAGTGATCCCAAACTGTTCAAACCATTATTTTGGTGAACTTTTTATGTCATTCAGCCTCAGTCTCGAATAGAAAATAGAGCAAATGAAAGCAATCGAAAACTTTTGAACCTAATAAAGACACAAGAGGCTTACATTCCTTGCGTTCACATATACTTCGTTTAGGTCTTCTTCCGTCGGGTGTGAATTCTGATATACGGGACTGCTTCGCTGTAGGCTCTCATAGTGTCGTTGTGATCGAATGTTTGAACCTCGCGATCGCAGCTCCAAGTGTGCAGCTGTTTCGGATTCCCTTGAGGTGCTGCTACTGTTATCGTACTGTTGTCCCTCTGCCTTGGTGCTTCTTCCTTTTTCTAATTGTAAATGGCGCCTGTGCTTCCAAACCAGGAGAGCTATGCCCATGATTGACAACGAAAGGGCGACACTCAACATAATGACTGCAAGAGGATGACTCTGTTCACATGTGCCGCCTGAAAACACATCAATAGAGAGCTTCCCGTAAATAATCGATTAAGCGCCGCTTCTCTGAATAATCGCCGCCGCTTTACCAAAAATATTTTAGTACGCGCTGCTCTCGAATAAGCGCCGCTGTGCTAATTTGGGTATCAGTTTACAAATGGTGCCCCACCTTTGTTACGAAGCGTGATATATAAAGACATCACAAAACCATATCGCTTGTGTAATAAGACCTCGACCAGCTCATGAGTTCTAAAGTTTTAATGTAGGGAAACTCATGAAACCGGGTTCAAATAACAGTTGTACTTATGTAGGTGTACATGTATTAAATTGTGCATACCTAGTAGGCGCCGCTCTTAATTCTCTCTCTATATTCCCCTCAGTGTTTTACCCGTAGTTGAAATAAGAGCTGCCGCTCTCTAAGCGCCGCACCTATAACACGGAAAATGAAATAAGCGCCGCGGCGCTTTATCGATCATTTACTGCAAGCAAAGGGATTTTCGAGCGACGCAGGGCAAGTGAAAGTGAGGCCTTGTGCCTTAATTAGTGACGTTGACGCTAGCACATTTATATTACGTGTCCTTTACTCCTATAGAGACGATTTGCCTGAAAATGCGGTAAAACGCGTTAGGCGTCAAGCAAAATTTAGCGGGTACATATACACAGATTTATGTAGCCGAGGTCTTTGTTTTTGCTGCTGTCAATAGGTTTCGTTAGGTCAGTAGCAATTAACAGTAAAGGCATCCCATTGCCTATTCCAGGTTTAACCAAACATACCTTCTAAGTCTGCAGGCAGATATTTTGTTGTCTCATTGGTACAGAATTCACTTCTATAATCTATGAAAGATAAACATCCGTTCTATTCCGCTGTGGTCAAATACATAGGGTTACCATTTCACCTACTGGTGGTGGTGAGGATCGAAGGTGCTGTACTACTTCTGGGTGAAAAATTCCTATGCCCTGGGCGGGGTTTGAACCCACGACCACCGGTAGACTAGTTGGGTGTGATTACCACTGCACCAACATTACAACCATGCTGACAACATGGTTAATTTAGGTATTGAGGGCCAATTTCGTTCCCAGGGTTCTCTCACTACACAACCCTGAGAACGAGATTGATTGAGGACCTTTATGTGGGCCATCAGGGCCATAATAGGCTGCTATTTTTCTTTCTCGAAAGCCGCAATCAGTGCATGAAGAAAGTTTCTCTTCCATGCAATTACCTTTATCCTTCTGTTAACTACCAGTGGTGGGTGGCAAAACAATCCAAATGGCAAGGAAATTCTTCTCAACATCAAAATCATTTTTGTTTTTATTGATCGTGAAAATGAGTGTTATTTTACTGACGTCATATCGTACGTGGTGGTACTGAGCTAATCAAAGATTCCAATTACATTTTTAACTGAGCTCGCTGATCATAATGCTAACCATACTTTAAACGCAAGAAATACAAAAATGCAATAAAAATAAACCAGTAAAGTAGCAATAACCTTTTTTAGTACCTGTAATGCACACCAAAGAAGCCACGTTACCAGTACCATAACAGCTGCGTCTCAAACGCCTGTGGTCACACTCTTGTAATGCTGTCTCATTTCCTATACAGTGCACATTGTGTATCCATAAGTTTCCTCGCTTCCCATCTGTTCTCTGAAAATCCGAGGACCTAACTGCTACTAGAGCCCCCGGAAATCCAAGCTGTTGGCAAACTACGCTGGCGTCCTTTAAATCCCAGGAATTCCCACACACTTCATCCCAGGTTCCATTGTGAAACATTTGTACTCGGCCTTGAAATGTCACATTGCCCCAGCCAACCAACTGAACTGTTGCATAAAAGATATCACTTGTCACTTCTAGCCTTTCCTTAATGTTAACACAAGATTTCGGTCTCTTATCGTACTCTAAAATCAGTTGTCAACAATAATCTTGGAAAGAATCATCTGTTTATTTACGATTATAATTCAAAACGCGAAACTTCTTTGCTTCGTCATACAACGAACTTGGTCAGTTTGCGGTTCCCCATAATCTGATTCCCCCCTCGGGGTTAAGAGAGGAGTGAGTCGCCGGATGCGGATTGCTTCTTTTTTTTACTGGTCTTTAAGGCAGTCATTTTACTTGTCATGGACTTTGGCCTTTTTGGACTGGAACTGGTGACCCCGATGTGGCATGTTCAATGTTCCCCATTGTGGTGATTTAAAACTTCCAAGGACCGGAGGAACAACTAAGCCTACGATGTTCACTGCACTCATTTTCAAAGTACTCTCCGTTTCTCCAGTGCATTTCATCCCGACCTGTTCCCCATCAGGTACCACCTCACATCTGATGTAATTAACTTCTACACTCACACGGATTCCGATGGGGTGGGGTCCTTGACTAATAGCTGCCTTGACGTATTCTCGGCTTGTGGTGGAGAGCCATTCCAATATACGAGCCAGCCCTCGAACAGTATGCGGTATTGTTGTTGAGGTGATAAATCTCCTGTTTGAGATCAGAGGCCGGGTCTGACACAATGCGCTGCTTGGTATGATGCAGGTACGTTTTGATAAATCGAAGTCCAGCTGCTTCTCCTCGGAAGTTCCAAATTTGCCTCGTCGGAGTCGAAAATGTTTTAACATTAAAATATCAGCTTGATAGGGAACAGCAGTGATGGATGTAAAGAAACAATCCCTGTCCGGCGACTGCAATCGTCTCTAGACCAGGACGGGGGCCATATCACCTGTCAGGAATTTTGAACAAGTTGGATACTGCGCTTGCTAAGTGATTTTGCGCACTGACTAAGGCGTTTGTCAACTCTGAATCAGGCTACCAAACGAAAAGCTGTGTTCAAACTTCCCTGGAATGAGTGAGTAAAAAGTCTATTTCGCGTTTGTGAAGTTTAGTAACAAGGATAAATCAAAGTTTACATGTCGATACACACGCGCTTGTGTTTGTTAGACTTAAAAAAGAAACAGACCCTGACTTATTAATATTTTTTCAAGACATATATGCCAGGAAACTTTAATTTAACAGTGTCTGTCAGCAATGCTGTATTGTATATACGTTTACCTCTTGGTTTGCAAGTAACACCTGCTTTTCTCTTCGCTTTACAGTCTCGAAATCCGAATCCTCCATGAACGCAAGAAAAGAGAGATTTTTCATTTCCGGTACAATTCATGTTGCTTAACCACGGTCGACCTTTGATTTCCGTTTCTTCTTCGTACTCAAAATCTGCTGATAACGCTCCATCAAAGTCCATCATTCTGCAAGCTACATCAGCGTCTTGTTTGTCCCACTGATCAGCGCACACCGAGATCCAAGTGTTGTTGTAATAAACTTGAACAATTCCTTCTCGGAGTGACTGTCCTTCCTCTAAACGAGCTGCTTGAACAGAGAAGAAAATGCATTCGAGCTCCCGCAAACTGAAAGTGTTTGCAACTAAGCTGATTTCTTGTGCGTTCTTATGCCTATTACATTGTTAACAAACAACAATATCGTTCGCACAAATAATAGCAAAAAAACTGACAACAAAACATAAAAAAAATAAAATAAAATAAACTTGGTGCTTGAAATTTTTCAGCTGATTGACTATCGCAAACCCCTTGAGAAGCGACTAAAAATTTGGGTGGACAGTTGTACACCACGATTTAATGGGTCCTTACAGTTTCAACCTAGATGGTGCCAAGATATGAGAACTATGAACTGTTCAGAGGGTTAACTACAGTTATTACCTTTCATGCAAACTACAAGGGGAACTTGACTACAAGAGCTAAGGACCCTCCAAACTCCTACACAATTTGCAGTTGAGGCCTGGTTCCATAAACACCTTATGTCACTTGTCAACGCTTTCCTTCTTCTCCCCTCGAAATTAGAGTACTTAGTAGCTGTAACGAGGACGGCTTCATATCCAAGATGCTGACAAACTGCGTTTGCCTTTTCAGAAGACCAGTAAGAATCACATACTACTCCCCAGCTTCCACGATAAAATACTTCTACCCGATCTTGAGAGGCCAGGTTACCCCAAAAGGTCAATCGAACTGCAATGTAAAATGTTTATGTTAACGTACTGTGTGTAACTGAGGGTTAATTGCTATCTTAGGAGAGGATGGAAGAAGACCATCTGGGCATTATTTTTTGTTACTGCTTATTTGCGCATCAAAAAATAGTTCGACCGGGCATCACCCAATCAAAGAGATGCCGATACAGAGCGTAGTAAAAACAGCCTCATCCACGCTGTCAGATAAAAAATCCGGAATTAAAATGGAAAACACCCAGGCACGATGTGGGGTTACGATAATGTAAGATAACTGGCCTTCTTTTCGACCCCGGGCTATCTTTAAGAATTTACATTAGTTGATCGAAAACACAGTCCAATACAGGTGTCTGAATGTTATTTATGTTTACTTTGCATATTTTAGTTTGCTTTATAAAAGAAAGTTTGAAATTGAATCCTAGGAATTATTTGACGTCTTGGGCTCATTTTTGAACGAGGTGTATCTACTTATAGTGTATACATATAGAACATATATGTCTGGTACCTTTTGGTTGACACATTACACCAACTTTCCTTTTTCCTTTACATGTACAGTTCTGAGATCCTAAACCACAATGATCACATGAAAGTAGAGACGTTTCGCTGCGACTGCACTGCAATTTGTGAAACCATACTTGATTCAAGCTTTTAGCGTCAACATTGTCCAGAAAATATGATAATACTGATCCGTCAAAGCCGAGCATTCTGCAAGCCACATCAGCATCGTGTTTGTCCCACTGATCAGCACAAACCCAGCCCCAAGTGTTGTTGTGGTAAACTTGCACCAGTCCTTCTCGGGGTGATTTTCTTCCCACTAAACGTGCTTTTAGGAATGGAAATATAGATGGAGAAAAAAACTTATAGCCATTTGTGGTGGGAAGAGAGCAATGTCGACAATGTTATCTCAGGCTAAAAGTGCAAGTGAACATTTTCTTCGTCATTTCTATCTAGTCATAATATCTAGCTTCAGTGGGATCTACAGTACATCCTTGTGGTTGTGCCAGTAAGAGCGTAAGACTTCTCTTCTATGCCTTTCACCGACAGTCCACCGACATATCGACCGAAAGTCGGCAGACGTGTGGGCCTATATGTCGACAGCGTGCAGTGTCCATAGTGTCGACCGATACTCAACCGAGGGGTGCACAAATTGCACAAGATCCCTTTTGTCAGACGAGTGAAAAGTTGTATTAAAAAACAAACTAACAAAAACAATTCACATACCTGTAATACAGAACACCCCTGCATCATAACTTATAAACCATAACCCATATCTTGCCCAACGACTGTACCGACACTCTGTCCATGATTTTTCATTCCCAGTGCAAGTCATCCATATTTTTCCATTTCCTCGAGCGGAACTCGTGGTCTTGTCAGCTACTAAAGCTCCAGCAAATCCAAGCTCACGACAAACTACGTTTGCATCTCGTAAATCCCAATCTGAGTCGCCGCAAACCTTTCTCCAGCTTCCACTGTGAAACACTTCAACCGGGCCTTGAAATGGATCATTATTTGCACTGGCTAACCGAACTCCTAAAATATCGGAAGAAAATAAACCGAATAGGTCCACTTAACTAATTCTCGAAAGTCAGTTTTTAGGTCAATTTGCAGTGGGCTCGAGAAAATGACTGAAACATATAATTTTAATTGCATCATAAACACAATTTTTTTTCTTTAGTTTTATTGCTGCCTTTCCGTTTTCTAGTTGACGTCACTTGAAATCATCTGATCAATTGTTCTCTCAGCACGACCAGTTTTTCCTGCATGCAGTGTTCTTGCCGGATTGAAACAGATATCGATATCCTGTTAGCCTACTGGTAAGATCTCACAATTTTAAAGATCTCTGATCGTTTTCCGGCAACTCAACTGTAATCTTCTTATGTCTGTTTGTGTTTTCACTTAGAAGCTTCAGGATTTACCTTGCAATCAGATGGTGATTAACCCCTTGTCCCAGTAGAGAGCCGTCGGGGAATACGAATACCGTCTATCATGACCCAGCCTACTTTGTGCGAGGTGGGGCTTTTTAAAACCCTCCTTTGGCTTTTCTCTAAATTTATAATATTTTGGAAAAATGAAATGTTTAGTATTAAGAGCAAATGTCGAACTTTTCCTACTTTGACGGAAAAGCACTAGGAACAAGGCCGTTGAATGCTTATGTGGGTATGTAATCTGTTACCTTTGATGCTAACATGTGTTTAAGAATAACAGCTTCTTAATCCAATACACTGTAGAAAAGGTTCTGGCTAATAATCTTTTTTGAAGAAATCAGAGAAAAACCTTTGAGGTGGGGTGTTGTTCAGGGTTGCGGGGGGCGGGGGAGACTAGTGATAATGACAATCTCTTGTCTGTCTGTCAGGAACAAAAATAACAATGGCAACAACAAATGCCCAGTTACAGGTGTCAAATCCTCATGCTAACACCAGGAGAATCTATCTAAAACAGATTTAAAATCACCTGCTTCTCCAAATTGCCATTTGTATACATATACATTACCTGGGACACAGACCACACCAGCATCTTCGCCATGATCACAGTTGTTTTCTTCCCACCTTCCATGGTCACATTCTGTCAATGAACTTTCATCCCCTGAACACCGTAACTCAGTAAGCCATATTCGGCCTTTTCCCTTCCCATAAGCTGCCCGATGGGCAGCTCTTTCAGCTCGTTTGAATCCAAGCTCACGACAAAAGACGTTAGCATCCAGTAGGTCCCAGCCGTCATCACAGACTGTTCCTCAAGTTCCATTGTAAAGAACTTCCACTCGGCCTTGGTTTGTCTTATTTCCTCTAGTACTATTCAACCTTATGGCTGCAATATAAGGGAGTTGTAGTGCTAGATAGAACTTTTCATAGACAGGGACCTATTGTAAAATTTTCATCTTTTTAATTGTCTTCTCTATCGTGTGCCGGACCATACGTTTGTTTGACCATGGTTGTCTTTACACTAGGCTGTTAAGTAAGACTTAAGAGCTGCTAAGTTTTACTTATCCAAAAATTCGTGTGTGAGGGCCTAAGTAAAATCTCAAGTAACTTTACTTTGCATCTCATCAAAGTCAGAAGGTTGAAACGATTCAGGAAATAAAGTTTCAAGCGACTTGAAAACCATCCTTAAAACCGACTTAGCTGACTTACGGTTACTTGCGGTTTCTTGCGGTTTCTTGAGGTTTGAGAAGGCGAAACACGTCAATCAATCGTAATTATGTTGCGCGGGAAAATAGCCTTAAGTTCCTTGACCCGAAGTAAAAAAGAATCGGTTGTGTGTGAAACTTTATTTTACTTGAAGTAATTAAAATTTACTTGTCTTGAAATATCCCAAAGCTTATTTAGGCTCTAGTGTAAAGACTACCTATATGTGGTCGAGCTAATTTTTTTCTCTCTTTTTTAATATTTATTTCGTAATTGATCCAAATCATTTAGTCCTTAGGTGTTCTCTCACGCCCTGCTGTCCAAGCGAGTAGGGTCAGGTTTGATCGAGCCGAGAACGCCTGGGGACGTTGTAGGTTACATATAAATGCTGCCAAACGCATAATTGGACATAATTAAGACGCGAAACGTTCCGTATCAACTGTACCTATCCAAGGGTTTGGTCGTATGAAGACTGTCAAAAAGATCTCCACCTAGTGTTATATGCGCCTCGTCTTCAGCTTGAAAGAAAAATTTATCTGATGATTTAAACTATCCTAATGTCTCGTGCCATAGGATAAGACATATTATTATTCATTCAAAATATTTTCTCGTTTCTGATTGGTTAAAACCACACGCATAATTCACCATAACCAGCTGCTGTTGACCAAATTTGGAAAGAATTTAGTCATATTGAACTGACGTCAAAATGACGTCAAAAGCTCAGCCTGGTTGCAGGTTATTGAACCGTTGACCGAGAAAACCTGGGGACGAGATTAAGTTGTTTTGGTAGTTAGAACAAAATGGCGGAAATGTCTCGTTTCACGGCGAAATATTGTCTAAAACCATCACAAGAACAGCAAAAAGACAATTCGACGGAGAACATCTGGAGAATATCTGCAGATCACCTGAGCAGACATTTAAAATCTCCTAAACTTTCCGATAACGAAGAATTATCGATATAAACTTGAAACCATTCGAACGTAAGTTTAAAAATAGATCTTTGCAGAATTTTCAAACATGGCAATTCACAAGTTTTTTGCGCAAACAACAGCGTAATGGCTTCAATGGAATCGCTAAAAGTTTGAACTGTTTCGTTACCTGAGAAAAAAAATAGTTTGTTTTCTGTTCTCGCCAAGTTTTAGCCAAAAGGGCATGTTGTGTCGTTCTTTGTGCTGACAAAAATGGCGGCTCGGTTGCTCGAGGTAAGAGGTCGTCTTCCTGTATCATTCTTTTTCCTGTTTACTTGAAATGTAGAATTTCTGCAAACATTTCCTTTTAAATTTGTTTGTCATAAATAAACTTCGATTTTTGAGCCAAAATTTTCTTCTTGGAAAACGCTGAGTTCACGAAACGGCTTCTTCTACGCGAATACACGGGAGTTGTAAACAATCCATCGAGCACAAAACTCCTGCTACAGTAAATTTTTGAAAAGTCTTTTCTTGCCTTAAAAAAAGTGGGAAAAACACCGAGCTCACACATTATCCACTCGCTAGGAGGTGAATATTGTTGAATAGTCCGAGATAGCGAACCAATCAGATTGCTTAAATCACCAAGATCACTGAGTGTGTATATACTAATTATCGATATAAACTTGCATCGAACGAGGTTAGCATGTTTTTAGCCTCCCCGCAGACGTCCTTTGGGGTTCGTTTGTCACGCATTCATTTCTCCAATGAATGCGTGACAAACGAACCCCAAAGGACGTCTGCGAGGAGGCTACATTTTTAGCCTGTTTTTAAACTTGGAATTATTTTGAAGGAATAATAAAACAAATATTGAATTCGGCTTTCGTGGGATATGAAGAATTCTGCAGATCTCGGAGGGTGTTATCCACCTCGGCCTTTGGCATCGGTGAATAACATCATAACACCCTCCTCAATCTGCAGAATTCTTCATATCCTACTCAGCCTCATTCAATAATCGCTAATTATCTCCCTTTACTAAAATTACAAATATCCATTTCTGGGCCAGGATGCACATTAGAGGTAATTAAATGTCTAAATTTGAATTACTGGAAACAGTTTTTCCGAATTTTGTTATTAATAATGACTAGGTATAGCACTCTCTTGATTAATATATATTTTTTCCTTACCTGGAGTGCACATCACTCCCGCATCCTCGCTGTGACCACAGTTACTGGTTATTCCCCATCCTCCATGACGGCACTCTTTTAACGACTTCTCGCTTCCTGTGCACCGTACGTTTTCCATCCAAATTTTTCCTTTTCCTCTCCCAAAAAACTCGGAGCTGTAAGCTTTTACAGCCCCTTGCATTGGAATCCAAGTTCGCGACAAACAACTTGGGCGTCTATTAAGTCCCATCCATCATCACATACTGTTCCCCAGATTCCCCTGTGATACACTTCAACTCGCCCCCCTCGATGGCTAAAATTTCCAATCCCAGCCAACCGAACAGCTGAAAGGAAATACAACATTCATAGCCTTAAAGAAATATTTCGCGACTGTTAATACGAAATCCGTTTTATATCTATTGCTTTTTTTGTTTC